AAGTGGCGCTCTGGCTCAAGTGGTAGAGTGGCTCGCCTTGAGCTGAAGAGCTCAGGGATATCACCCAGGCCCAGAGTTCAAGCCTCATGACCAATAACAACAAAAAATTATTAATACACGTTTTTGGTAACACATCATGCATTGTTTTTATAGCAGTTAACTATCTGTAAGGCACTGCTCTAAGCACTTTACAATGATTAGCTAATTTATTCAGGTAAGGAATAAAATATTCACAGCTTCCCTTCTCAAATAAAAGATCTCTCCTGACACCTATATTAGGTATTCAAATAAATACCATATTTGGAGTTGCCTTAAACATAATATTCAATTATTCCCTGCTGTTTTTCAACGCTTTTTTTCCCCTGTAAGAAACACCTTCTTTATCTGCTCCTTTCTACTATGCTAGCTGTTAGTGGGATCCAGTCTGTTCTTTGCTGTGAACTTCTGGATTGTTTCCACCATTTCTTGGGTTCCATTCCTTGCTCCTTGGGTTCCATTTTAATTTTCTACACTACACCTTCACAGGGCTACACATTCCCTGATTTCAAATACCAAGAAAGGGTTCTATATCCTTGAAATCCTTTTTTTTTAAGGCTTTATTTTCTCAAAGGGTGTAGTTTTTCATTTCTGCAGTGCTGAGGATGGAATCCAGGGTCTTGTGCATGCTATCACTCCAGACCCAGCTCCTGTGTCCTCTTAAATGTCCACTGTGGCTAACGAAAAATATAGTTAGTTAATTCTATAGGCGAATCATTTTCTTTTAGAATCTCCCAAAAAGAATGAATGTAATTGTTGGTCTTTCCATCTGTACAGTGAAATTTTGAATCTCAGTATTTTCTTCTGAGAATCTATTTTGTTTCTTTACTCATACTCCAACCCTTCATGTTTTATCTTTCTAGAAATTGTAGACAGTACTTCCTGGCATATCTTCCTTTCTCCCTCCCTCTCTCCTCCTCCTCCTTCCCTTGGCATAATTAAACCCACAATCAGAGAGGGGAAGGACAGGAATATAATGGTATGAATTTGTTCCAAAGTGAGTATGTATGGAATTATCTCAGCGAAACCCTTCATATGTATGGAATTATCTCAGCGAAACCCTTCACATTACTAATGTATGCTATGCTTAAGAAGTTGGAGGGATGGGCTAGGAAGGTGGCTCAGTGGTAGAGTGCTTGCTTTGCATGCCTGAGGGCCTGGGTTCAATTCCTCAGCACCACATAAGCAAAAAGAAAAAAGCCGGAAGTGGCACTGTGGCTCAAGTGGTAGAGTGCTAGCCTTGAGCTGAAGAGCTGAAGGACAGCGCCCAGGCCCAGAGTTCAAGCCCCACGACCGGACCCAAAAAAAAAAAAAAAAAAGTTGGAGGGAGGGCTGGGAAGGTGGCTCAGTGGTAGAGCGCTTGCCTTGCATGCTCGAGGCCCTGGGTTCAATTCCTCAGCACCACAGAAGCAAAAAGAAAAAAGCCAGAAGTGGCGCTGTGGCTCAAGTGGTAGAGTGCTAGCCTTCAGCTGAAGAGCTGAGGGACAGCGCCCAAGCCTAGAGTTCAAGCCCCACGACCCCCCAAAAAAAAGAAGAAAAAAAGAAGTTGGGGGGAAAAAGGCAAAGTAGATTCTCCTCTGGGGCCTCAAGGAGTACAGCGATATCAGTATTTTGACTTTAGGCCAGGAAGACTCATTTCAAAGGAGACCTTCCAAACTAAGCACAAAACTGCAGAAATCCAGAGTGAAGGGTTTATCTCAAGGAAACGTGTGGATATAGCTTAAGATCCACATGACTATGCTGGTGAAAAGAAAAAAGGCACCAGCAGTGAAGGGAAGGGACAGGAATTGCAGAAGAGGCCCTGGGACCCTCACACTTGTTTCTACATTTCAAGTAATCCATTCTTTCCTGAGGCTCGGGTGCCTTATGCAGCCCAGTCCTGCCTCAGCCTGAGGGCCAGTCCAGCCACCCTGAGTGCTGGCACATTGAAGCCCTCTGTCTGTTCCTGTGCCTTATGCAGTTCCCAGAATGCTTGATGGCCTGGTTGCTTCTTGTTCTAGGGCCACCCCAGCTTGAGTCTGGCACCCCATAAAGTGTGCAAATCATGATGGAAAAATGAGTCCTGTGATAAGGACTCACAGAAGGCCTCTAGGAAGGCACTGTGGTCAAACACACCGGCTGAGAAGGGCTTGGCCAGGAAAGACTTCTGGGAAGTGTAGTCCTATGGAGAGGCTGGTGGGATGGCACGCACGTGGTCAGACGTGCCCACGTGCCGCATGGAGGTACCCGCCCCCACCAGAGGTGCGGTTGCTGGTCTTCAGAAGCTGGCCTGTGGAAAGGTAGTTGTCCTCAGCTGGGCAGGTGGGCCAGGCCGGGAGGGAAGAGGAGGAAGGGACTGCTTAGCCCCGGTGCAATTCAACGTGCCCCTGCAGGCGGGCTATGTGCAGGGACCCCAATGCCGGGCCTGACCCTAGGCGGAGGAAGGTGAGTGGTGCAGATCCAGCTTCTGGTTCCAGTTCCCCCCTTAGTGCTGAGTGAGGAATTCTTGATAAGGAGCCCAGGACACTTAAGACGTTAGTGTCAACTTGTTGTGCCAAAGTCTAATTGACAAATGCCTTCCTAAGTAGGCTAAATGGGTTGCTGAGAAGGAAAAAAGGGCGAACCCAGGGATGCTGAATCCCAAGTTTGAGAGCAGGTGCACCATGCTGTGACACATACACGGTCATACTTTTGTAATCTGGGATTGCAAACTTAACAGACTGTGCCTGTTTTCTTAGTAACTCATTTTGATTTTCGCTTAATTTTAAATAAAACCTGAATTTGTAATAAAGGACAACCATGCCCAGATATTATTAACCATCTTTTGAAATATTTGATACTTGGTTATCAGTTTTCTCAAAACTGATTAAGTTCACTTAATAAACCTAGTAAGGGGCTGGGAAGGTGGCTCCGTGGCAGAGCGCTTGCCTTGCATGCATGAGGCCCTGAGTTTGATTCCTCAGCACCACATAAGCAAAAAAGAAAAAAGCCAGAAGTGGCACTGTGGCCCAAGTGGGAGAGCGCTACCCTTGAGCTGAAGAGCTGAGGGACAGCACCCAGGCCCAGAGTTCAGGCCCCAGGACTGGACCCAAAAAAAATAAACCTACTAAGACAACCAGTACCCAGAACTCAAAACCCAGTAGTAGCTAGCCAAGAGTCAGGAGTGTTCACAAACAGGAGGCATAACTCATCCAGGATGGGAGGGTCAGAACCCCACTGCCTCTTTGCTCATGAAAATAGCAGAACTGCCATGAGCAACACTTCTTCCTCTCCCAATCAGCAGTTACCCAGATGCAAACTTCATTTACCAGCAACATGTATGCAGTTTAGTGGAAGGTCTTTACCCAAAGCACCAACCTCATAAATCCAGACTCTAGAGAGAAGTCCTACAAATTTTCTAACAAGCACTGGAAACTAAGTGAGCTTGGCCCTTATGTAAGTCAATAAAAACCGTACAAATATGCTTAAGTGTGGCAAAGCAATCAGAGCTTATCCAGACTACACACTGGCCTCTAGTTGGGCTTTACACAAGACTTGATGCCTGAGAGAAATGGGAACACCACACAGCAGATGCAAAGTCCCAGGCATGTCAGGCTATCTCAGTTCTGCTGAGGGTCTCTAATAGCAACTTCCAGTGTCACAGCTCATGCTCCAAATGAAACTCCACATTCCTCAGCATCTTCAAAATCAACTAAAGTCCAATTTCATCCCATTGTAGATCAAAACTGTCATGTACTTGAAAAAAATGTACTAGCTGGGTTCAAGTGATTGAACTTCATCCCTCAAAATCTACTTGGGCTGGGAAGATGGCTCAGTGGTAGAGCGCTTGCCTTGCATGTCAGAGGCCCTGGGTTCGATTCCTCAGCACCACATAAGCAGAAAAAAAAGCCGGAAGTGGCGCTGTGGCAAGTGGTAGAGCACTAGCTTTGAGCTGAGGGACAGCGCTCAGGCCCAGAGTTCAGGCCCCATGATGGGACCCCCCCCCCCCCAAATAAATCTACTGGGGCATTTGTGGCACAGCTGTTAACTCCAGCACTCAAAAACTAGGCCCTGCCTGAATCAGAGGGGCAATAGCTCCCTGATGCTAAAAGATTAGGCTGAGAAACACTAGACTCTACATATAGTGCCTTTTCTCCTCCCCATTTTTGTCCATCCTAGGGGCCTGAACACTGTCCCTCAGCTTTTCAGCTCAAGGCAAGGATCCTACCAGTTGAGTCACTGTACCACTTCTGGTTTTGAGTGGTTTATTGGACATCAGTCTCATGGACTTTCCTGCCCAGGCTGGCTTTGAACTGCAATCCTCAATCACAGCCTCCTGAGTAGCTAGGATTACAGGTGTGAGCCACTGATTCCCTGGAGCTTCCTCCCCATTTTTTTAATTGTCTATCCTAGGGCTTGAACTCAGGGCCTGGGTGCTATTCCTGAGTGCCGTACCACTTGAGCCAGAGCATCACTTCCAGTCTTTTTGGATAAGTATCACAGACGTTTCTGCACCAGCTGGCCTCAAACCTACACCCTCACATCTCGGCCTTCTGAGCTGTTATAATTACATGAGTGAGCCACCATTGCCTGGCTCTCATTTACAAACCAAACAGTTTACATAAGTATTATGTGCTATTAAAAGTGTGAGTCCATACTTCCCATTTCCAAGTACTTGTGCACTATGAGGGTTACAGTAACTAGCACCAGGCCATGTGGTACACAAAGGATAGGACCAGTAAATTGGTCTCTTAAGCACAAGCACCAAACCTTTAACTTCAGTCTTGTTTCAGGACTAAAACTGGTAAATTTTTTCCAGTGGTTTTGAAAAATAAAACTTCATCCACATTAAAATGAATAGAAGCCACAAGCTGGAAAGCTCCTTCCATGCCTCTTTCCTCTCCCAGGTCTTTTTTTTGCAGCTAGTTCGATACAGACCATAATTTGTTGCCCACAGTGCTTCATAGGTTCTGCCACCACACCTCACAAAGAACAAGGAAGCCCACTGGTTATCTGATATTTTTTATTGAAATAGTTTCTCTTGTGCTTCTTAACTCTGTAGAAAGAAAAAAAGGCTCTCAGTAAAGATCCAACGATTTTCTCTCAACCCCAACCCAGCACTGACTCATTTTCAAAACCCACCATTTCCCCTCAACCTCTGGCCCCTCTTAGAACCAAGCATAAGATACAGAAGCCACTTACAGCCGGGCATTCCACTGCACCACTGTTGATGTCATCTATGATGTCATGAGGGTGGCGGCCATCAACATTACACCCCACAGACTGGGCAGTGCCCAAGATTTCCTTAATGGTTCCTACAAACAAACAATGGCATCAGAGGGGACTCAGGTCCCCAACAATCCTCAGGTTTGAGGTCAACAGGATACCTGAGTCCCCACCATACAGAACTCAACTCCTACAGCTCCATGGGCTGTTACACCCAAACCTTGGGTCTGTTTTGTTGTTGGTTGTGGGGCTTGAACTCCGGGCCTGAGCGTTGTCCCTCAGCTCTTCAGCTCAAGGCTAGCACTCTACTACTTGAGCTACAGCGCCACTTCCAGTTTTCTGGTGGTTTATTGGAGATAAGAGTTTCACGGAGTTTCCTGCCCATGCTGGCTTTGAAACGAGATCCTCAGATCTCAGACTCCTGAGTAGGATTACAGGTGTGAGCCACCAGCCCCCAGCTAAAATCCTTGGGTCTTGTAAGTGCCAATACTGAACACCCAGTGAAAGCACCCCAATTTGGTTAAGATGGCTACAAATTCTTACCAGAAAGTTCTCTGGCTAAAGATCGGTGCCGCATCTGCCGGGCAATGTTGACAATCTCATCAAAAGAGATGTTTCCACTGTGTTTAACTGCAGAGAAGAAAAAGCTTTCTCTCAATCTGAGACTGGGTAACCAACAACTTGCACTCCTTTATGTACTTCAGAACTGTTCCCATGCTTTCGGCACAGAATCATCCACATGAAGAACAACCCTGTTTCCTAAAAGCTGGGGTTTATTATTAGCTCACCACTGGATTGCACCAGTCAACTGAGAACTGATCAGGTGCAGTGGCGGGTGGCTAGGAGCAAACTCTTTCTTCCTTGCATGCACCAAGCACCACATGGCAAATTCTTTATAACCTTTGGCTTACTTTCCAATCCCATGCCAACTCAGGTTTCATTACCAAAAAAAATCTAGGGAAAATCCAACTCACTGTTTTTTTGTTTCTTTCTGTCTCTTGGTGGCTCCTTTAGGGCTTTGATGATCAAGGCAGAGGCAGAAGGTACCACCTCTATCTGCAAAACAGATTCTTGATGTGAATATACCGCCCCCTCCAATTCTGTCAGACACAACTCTGAGAGCGTGGGCCAGATAGTTGAATTACTGTAATGCCTAAAACTCATTGCTAGCTTGGGGAACAGTGTATTCAATGTGACCGCAAGTGACAAGACTTAATATCCCAAATTTATACTTTTGCCCCCGGACTACCCCCTTTACAAGGAAGGACTTCCCAGAGAGAAATGCTGTTTTTACCGCGAATGACAATTTGGTTCAGGAATTTCAGAGGGGTGCTGCCTCTACCACCCATAAACCCAGCACAGTAAGAAGTACCTGGGCCTGTCTGTTCTGAATGGTCAGCTTCACTGTAATTCTTAGACCCTTCCAGTCCCCTGTCGCCTTGGCGATGTCATCACCTACTTTTTTTGGAGACTGCAGAAACAAAAGCATGTAATCACATTGTGTCCAGTACTGTTCACAAACACAGAGGAAAGTGCCTTCAGCCTTCCTCTAGGATGGCTGCCGTAGGGCTACAACGTTTGAGTCATTTAGCAACCTTGTCTTAAGAAACAGCGGGATAAAGGACACTTCTCACCACCGGCTACATTTAACAGGCAGGTATCAGACTGATACAATGTTACTAGGGGTCTGGACATTTACTCCTTTCTAATTCTTTGCACAGGCCTAATTAATGCCTTTAAGCTCCACTGAAGTACTAGCTGCCCTAAAGGGCAAGGAAGCAGTTAGACATGCCTGAAACAGACCATAAAGAAGCTTGGGACACCAAGGACAAAAATTTGACAAATTCGGATGCATGCAGACGCAATAAAAGCAGAGTATATAGCGCAGGAAGCAAGAGGACAAAATGGCAACCCACAAGAAACGAGTAAAGCTAGCCATGGCCATTACTGGGTTTACATTTAGAGATAAAAAACACAAGCTCCTACGCTCAGTAGGGCCTTCTTCCACAATCCAGTTAGTCCAATAGGGCTAGGCCCCTCCTCACCCCCAATGCTCGGTATCTCACAACCTGACCTACGGTCCATCCTGGCCGCCGTTTAGACACGTGGACGAGAGCTAACTACATGGTGCACCCCAACTTCGTGGTAACTTTTCTTCCATGGACCCTCATGCCTTATGCTGGATCAGAGACGACGAGATGGCCGCACAACTGCCAGAGCCCCGTTTGCACAAAACAGACCCTCGTCTGTTCTCGAGTTATGTTAAAAAAACAGACACCTCGGCCCTCAGGCAGGGACTACTTACCAGACCCAGGGGGCCGATCTTGGGGGCCAGGGCGGACGTGGCGCCGACCTCGCCACCGGTGCACCTCAGGTACACTGGGAAGGAATTGAGCCTCTGGTTAGAGCCGGAGTGGCCTCTTTTCAGAGCAGCACCGGGCGCCTCCGCAGCTGCGAGGCCGGCACTCGGCCCTCCCTCGGCTAGAGCCGCCCGAGACCGCGCGGGGACGGGCCTTACCCTAGGGCGTGCGGGCTGCAAGGCCGCCACAGGTCTTCCGGTCCTCCCTCCCCATTTACACGTGAGGCCCAGAAAAGGGGAGCCCCGCCAGGGCCGGCCCGCGCCGCCTCTCGGGGGAGCGGCCCCAGGGCCCGGCTGGGAAAGGCGCGCGGCGGGACCGCAGGCCCGACGAGCCGCGGGATGGAGCCTGGCTCCGTCCGCGACCCCGTCCGCGTCTAGGGCACGCACCGACTTTGATTTCGTTGGGATCAAACTTAGGCGGCATGACGGAGGTGGCTGGTGTCGGATGAACCCGGATTCGGGACGACCGAAGAAAGTTGCACCTTTGCCTCCCCCGAGCCGAAAGACGAAAGGCCGGAAACAGCCCGGACCACGCTAGATATAGGCAGGAATACGCGGTTCTCGCGATAACTTGAGGCTCCGCCCCGCCTCCGGGCGACGCCCTGGTCGCCATGATTTTTATGGGCAGGCTCCTGAGGCTGACGGCCGGAAGCTGGGTACCGGGGTGAGGTAGGGTCGGAAAAGGGGGTTCGGGACATTTAGCCCGGAGGTAGTCAGAGAGGATGGGCCACCTTTGAGGTCGTGGGCCCTGGCGGTCCCTTGTCATGAGGATCACTCCGGGGTCACTGGCACCCACTCCCGAGCCCCGCCCCTCCTCAGCGGGGTCCGCTCCCCTATTCTGGGGCCCAGGGACACGGCGACCCTAGGGCCCTTCTAGCCCCCTCATTGTGTGTGCATTTTAGCCACCCAGACCATCCAGGGTAACTCTTCATCCTGCAGTCCCGCAGTTCCCAGAGTCTCAGACTTCGTCATCCTGATCTGCAAGACTTGCCAAGGTTCTGAGTTCGGAACCACACTGGGCTTCCGCTGAGCCGGCGCCCGGTGGTCCGCGACCCCACGCCCATGAGCGAGCCTTCCGAGTGAGCAACCTGCCGGGCTCCACCCGAGGACCCCTACGCCCGGGAGCTCCCAGTCCGCAGAGCCAGGTGAGCCACTGCCCCGCCCAGCCCGGGTGGGTGCGGCTCTCCCCGGCCGCGCGTGGAGGAGGGATGGACCGGAGACATCATACTGGGAAAAGCGGAGCTGGGAAGAAGGCTGAGAGGTCCGCACGTCGCGAGAGGAATGAGGAAAAGCCAGTCTTTGGGGAGCAGGAGAGGCTGTGGTCACTGGGAACAGATGTAGAGTGAGACCTTAGAGGCCAGAAGCACTGGGCAACTGCAGGCCATCAGGGAGGATGGCAGAGAGCTTTTAGAGCATTCCCCATCGCTGCAGGACGCTTCCTGCCGGCCTGGCAGCCTCAGTCAACCTCCTCAGATAGCTCACACCCAGGGCCAAGACCCGCCATTCAGGAACAAGTGCCCGCTCGGGTGCCCGAGGTGCCCCCTGCTCCTCTTCTCCCAGTCTCCTGTAGTGGTCCCTGAATCGGCTTTTCACATGTATGTTGCTGTCAGGTGTGGCTTCCATTTATTAAGCCCTCTCACGGGTCTGGGGGCTGGTGGCTCACCCCTGCAGTTTGAACCGGGTGGACCTGGAAAGACTGTGAGACTCTTATCAAACTCCTCAGAAAAAGCCAGAAGTGGTTCTGTGGCTTAAGTGATAGAGTGCTAGCCTTAAGCAAAAGGAGCTCAAGGACAGTAGGAGGCCGTGAGCTCAAAACCCAGGATCAGCAAGCAAGCTAGCTAGCTAGCTAGATAAGCTGGTAATCACTGGCACCTCACAAAACCTACTGTTGCTAACAGAATTATGGTTAAGGAAGCTGTGACGCTAAGAGGTCAAAGTGACGCATTTGATGGGTGCTAGGTCTGGATTCAAACCCAGTAATACTTCATCTCAAAGCCTGTGTTGTAACCACACACAGTCTGGATAATTGTTTCTGGTTGCTCTTGTCCTTTATAGAGACTGTGCAGATTTGGACAAGGCAATGAGCACTAGCTCTGAGTGTAATGAGCCTGTGCTGAGTTGGGCAAACTGTGCAGGATGAGAACTGGTAAGACCAGGGTCCCAAGCGGGTTTTGCAGCCTTTCAAGCTGTATAACCAGATCACTGAACTTAATGAGTGTCTCAGTTTCTCCACTATCAACAGAGCTGTGATGAGAGTCACATGGGATAATAACTGGGAAGGTGGTTCCCCACATGACTGATGATTGCTTTTTCATCTTTATTGAATTCATACCTCTCTTATGCTATAGTTGAGCTTTCCACACCATGACTAGCACTGGTTTAATCCTGCTTATGTCACTCTTTTTTTTTTTTTTTTTGGTTGGTCGTGGGGCCTGAATTCTGGGCCTGGGCGCTGTCCCTCAGCTCTTCAGCTCAAGGCTAGCACTCTACCATTTGAGCCACAGCACCACTTCCAGCTTTTTCTGCTTATGTGGTACTAAGGAATCGAATCCAGGGCCTCATGCATGTGAGGCAAACACTCTACCACTGAGCCACCTTCCCAGCCCCTTATGTCACTCTTGACAGGGACTAGCCGTGACCAAGCAGCTGAGTCTGTTAGAGTCCTCAGAGAGCATCCTTACAAGTGCCTAGGGAACTTCCTTCCCGATGGTAGAGGCGATGGGCTGAGAAGTTGGCTCAGTGGTAGAAGCGCTTGCCTTGCATGCCTGAGGCCCTGGGTTCGATTCCTCAGCACCACATAAGCAAAAGGAAAAAAGCCGGAAGTGGTGCTGTGGCCCAAGTGGTGGAGTGCTAGCCTTGAGCTGAAGAGCTGAGGGACAGCGCCCAGGCCCAGAGTTCAGGCCCCACGACCGGACCCAAAAAAAAAAAAAAAAACCGATGGTAGAGGCGAGCTGGGGCCTGGAACAGGGAAAGGGTAACACTTAGATCTCACCGTGGGTCACCTGGCCTGCCTTTATGCTCTTTCCACCCCTTCCAGTTGTGTGTTCTGTCTTGAGCACTACTGTATGGGCTCAGGGCACTGATGAGCATGTTAACAAAACCCTGCCAGCATGGAGGTCACTGTCAGGGGCCCAGTCAGGGACTCGGACCGATTTGTTAGGATCCTAACCTCTGTCCTATGCCTTAGGGTCTTGACGACCTCTCTAGGTAAAGTGAAAGATGCCTCTCTTCTTCCGGAAGCGGAAACCCAGTGAGGAGGCTCGGAAACGCCTGGAATACCAGATGTGTCTGGTGAGGGACAGTGTATTTCCTCTGATTCCTTCCTGGTCCTCCTATGCCTCCCCATCCCTGCACGGCACAGCGTCCTTTTTTTTTTTTTTTTTTGGTCAGTCGTGGCGCTGTCCCTGTGCTCTTCAGCTCAAGGCGAGTGCTCTACTGCTTGAGCCACAGCGCCATTTCCGCTTTTCTAGTAGTTTAGTAGAGATAAGAGTCTCATGGACTTTCCTGCCCAGGCTGGCTTTGAACTGGGATCCTCAGATCTCAGCCTCCTGAGTAGCTAGGATTATAGGTGTGAACCACCAGCGCCTGTCTAGCCCCCTTCTTTACTGACTTCTTTTCCCTGCTGAGCCATCAAGCTCCCGCAAAATCAGGCACACTGGGCACCAGAAGGTGTCTGGTCCCTTTCAGCTCCTTAATTCTGTGTTACCTTGTACCTTGCCTGATTTTATCCAATCCATGAGAGTGTTTATACAGTAGTTTGGGGATGTAGTTCAGTAGTAAAGCACTTGCCTAGCATGCTTGATCCCCAGCTCCATGCTAAAGAAAAAGAAAATTAACTAATATAAAATTGAATTCTTTTTCTCCTTAGGCAAAAGAAGCTGGGGCTGATGATATCCTTGATATCTCTAAATGTGAGCTGTCAGAGGTAATGTGAGGGTGGTATATAGACTGTGCATTTGACCATCCTGTTCCCTTGGATCCTATGTCTCAAGGGAAGACAGACATAGAATCAGACTTTTAAAAGGCTAGAACACTAGTCAAGAGATGTTTCCTTAGATTCTATTCTTTCCCAGAAGAATTGAGAAGATCCTTTGGCTTTGACATAGTTCTGAAAGAACCACAGGTTTTAGTTAGAAATGGAGCAGGGTGTGATGAGCATGTCTGTGATCCCAGCTTTCAGGAGGCTGAGGAAGGAGGATCATGAGTTTGAGGCCATCCTGGCTACATAGTGAAACTTCATCTCCTATTAGAAAGAGAGAGAAAGAAAGAGGGGGGGGAGGTCAGGCACCGGTAACTCATGCCTATAATCCCAGGTATTCAGGAACCTGAGATCTGAGGATTGCAGTTTGAAGCCAGACCAGGCAGAAAAGTCCATGAGATCTTATCTCCAATTAACCACCAAAAGGCTGAAAGTAGAGCTGTGGCTCAAGTGGTAGAGCACTAGTGTTGAGCAAAAGAAGATCAGGAACAGTGCCCAGGACAGGATGGAAGGAAGGAAAGAAGGAAAGAAGGAAGGAAGGAAGGAAGGGAGGGAGGGAGAGAGGGAGGGAGGGAAGGAGGGAAGGAGGGAGGGAGGGAGAGATGAAGGGAGGGAGAAAGGGAAGAAAGAATGGAGAAAATTTACCCACAAAATCCCCAGTGCTAGCCTAGTCGTATTCATGATAGGCACAGGGGTGGGACAGGGCAGTTCCCTGCCAACTGATTGGGGAAGGCTGACCCCACCCCAGCACCATTCTCCCCACCCTGGGCTGAGCACGAATCATTGTTTTTCCCTAGTTTACCTCCTGCCTACCTATCCCTCAGAGAACAACAAAGGAGAAACTGGCAAGAGAGGTGGCACCTACTTACCTTTCTTTATCTCATTTTAGATTCCATTTGGGGCTTTTGCAACATGCAAAGTTCTGCAGAAGAAGGTGAGCCGCGTGTCTTCAGAGACTCACTTGCTGCATGTTTTTGCCTTTTGGAAACTGGAGAAACCATCTTCCTGGCCAGGCTCTTCTGCAACCTGATATTTCTCAAATCTTTGCCTCACAGGTGTTGATTGTACATACGAACCACCTTACTTCTCTGCTTCCCAAATCCTGCAGCCTCCTGAGCCTTGCAACCATCAAGGTACTGGGGCCCCTCCAGGTGTTCCAGGTGGCAGCTGGCTTTCCTGAGTCCTCCCCACTGCTATCCCCCCTCACGCGCCCATTGTCCCCCCCCCCCCCCCCCATCCCCATGGGGTTTCATCTGTTAAAGATTCGTTTCGTTTCTTTTCTTTTTGGCAGTCGTGGGACTTGAACTCTGGGCCTGGGCACTGACCCTGAGCTCTTCAGCTCAAGGCTGGTACTCTACCACTTGAGCCACAGCACCACTTCTGGTTTTCTGGTGGTTTATTGGAGATAAGAGTCTCACGGTCTTTCCTGCCCCGGCTGGTTTTGAACCACGATCCTCAGATCTCAGTCTCCTGAGTAGCTAGGATTACAGCCGTGAGCCACCAGCCCCCAGCTCGTCTGTTAAAGTTTTTCTGTGCCATACTGGCCTCATTGAACCATCAGTTAAGGATTTGTTTTGTTTTATTTTGTTTCAATTGTCATTTGTGGGGCCTGAACTCTGGGCCTGGGTGTCAGTTAAGGATTAATTGACATGGTTTGCTGAGCACTTCTGTGTGCTGTGCATGGGACACATGAGCTCCCATGCTATATAGAAAACTAAATCCTAAAAACAAAGCCTGGAAGCCAATGACCTAAACAGGACAAAACAGCAGGGCCTTAGAGGGCATTAGGTGAAGCCCCTCCTAACTGTGAGACCCTGTTCTAAAAAACCACAAAAGGACCGGGTGCCCGTGGCTCACGCCTGTGATCCTAGCTACTCAGGAGGCTGAGATCTGAGAACTCATAGTTCAAAGCCAACATGGGCAGGAAAGTTCAAGAGAGTCTTATCTCCAGTTAACCACCAGAAAAACAGAAATGGCGCTGTGGCTCAAATGATGGAGCACTTGCCTTGAGCTGAAGAGCTGAGGGACAGCGTCCAGTCCCAGAGTTCAAGCCCCACAACCCCCCCCCCCCACACACACACACGGAAAAAAAGAAATGAAAAGAGAAAATGAAGGATAGCTGTTGTGGCATATGCCTGTAATCTCAGTGCTCAGGAGACTTCAGTAGAAAGAGTTCCATGCTAGCCTAGGATATATAGCAAGACTTTTTCTCAAACTAGTAAAAAAAAATTTTTTTAAAAGAGGAGGAGAAAGAGGGAGGGAGGGAGGGAGGGAGGGAAGGAAGAAAGAAAGAAGGGAAGAAAGGAAGGAAGAAGGAAGGAAAAAGGAAGGAAGAAAGAGAGAGGAGAAAGAAAGAGGAGAAGGAAGGAGGGAAGAAAAGAAAAAGCTGGGCACCAGTGGCTCCTACTTGTAATCCTAGCTACTCAGGAGGCTGAGATCTGAGGATCATGATTGGAAGCCAACCTGGGCAAGAAAGCCCATAAATCTCTTATCTCCAATTAGCAATCAAAACACCAGAAGTGGAGCTGTGGCCCAAGTGGTAGAGCACTAGTCTTGAACAAAAAAGCTAAGGGACAGTGCCCAGGCCTAAATTCGGACTCCAGGACTAGCACAAATAAATAAGGATAGGGGAGAGAGACAGAGAGACAGAGAGAATGGTAGGACCTTGTGTAAAAAAAGCTAAGGGAAGCCGGGCACAGGTGGCTCATGTCTATAATCCTAGCTACTCAGGAGGCTAAGATCTGAGGATCATGGTTCAAAGCCAGCTGGGGCAGGGAAGTCTGTGAGACTTTTATCTCCAACAAACCACTAGAAAAGTGGAAGTGGAGCTGTGGCTCAAGTGGTAGAGCACTTGCCTTGAGCTGAAGAGTGAAGGGATAGTGCCCAAGCCCAGAGTTCAAGCCCCACAACTGACCAAAAAAGAAAAAAAGCTAAGTGGGGGCATGAAGCCCCACATTCAATCCAAGTACCAGCACCAAAATGAGGGGAGAGCAAGAGGAAGGGAGGGAGGGGAGTTCATCATTGTAACAGAGACATGAAGTGACCGCTGTCACTTCTGGCTACCCTAAAGCCTGGGATTCTGGGCGCTGAGAGGTGTCTTCCCTCTGTAGGTTCTGGATCTCCATGACAATCAGCTGACAGCCCTTCCTGATGACATAGGGCAGCTGACAGCTCTCCAGGTAAGGATGTAGGACACAGAAGCCCATCTCTGGTGGGGAATGTTCTGGTTGTGCTGTGGCCAGTGGCCTCACACTGTTCAGGTGCCAGTACCACCTTTGCCAGCGCAGTCTGGCTGTAGCAGTCTCTACCGGCCTTTGGCCTATGCTTTGAGATTTCATCTTGGGTTTCTACAGCATTATAGGAAAAAATACCTGGTGTATACCTGAAAAAAGGAAAAGGTGGGTTCTGGGATATTGGATGTTTGGATGTGGCTTAAGTGGTAGAGTGTCTGTCTAGTTAGCACAAGGCCCTGACTTGCAAAAGTAAAAGATGGATTCTAGCACTTGGGAGGAAGCAAGAGGATCATGAGTTCTAGGCCAGCCTGTACTACAAGCATGGTGAGATTTCACACTGGCCCACAGCTCCCTGCTCCTGGGCTATAGCAGCCCTTCACTGAGCCTTGTACAAAGCTGCATATTGGCGTGGCTGCTCCTAGCCACCACCGTGTGAGGCCCATCTCAGGGCTGCCCCCATACCGTGGAGGGGACCCCATTTTGCTCACACTGAAAACCCCTTCTCTTCACTGGGACCCTGAAGATCCTTTTCAGGCTGGGGGTGGAGCTCATGGGCAGAGCTCTTATGCAGCATACAGGAGGTCCTGGGTTCCATCTCGAGCACCTAGAAGATAGAAAAGAAAATGTAAACCCCCAAATGATGGGACTTAGCTGTTTTCCAAGCCTCCCTCTTACTCTGTCCCCTTTGCTTTAGTAGTCACCTAAACCCTCCGTCTCCTGTCCCTACCCCAGCAGGACCTCTCCATGTGGGCTGTCCATTCTGCTGGAGTGGCCCTTCCTGGCCCTTTCTGGGGTGGTTTGCAGCCTCAGCCTTCAGCTGTGAGCCCAGTGTGTCTGTGAAGCCTGGCTGAGAGATCCCAGTATTCATCTTAGAACCCCTATCTTACTTCCCAAAAGCACCCACTGCAGACTGCAGAAAGCCAGTGTCTGAGAGCACCACTGCCCAGCTCGCTGCCTGGCGCATTGCGAGGGGGGAGGTGCAGCCTCCATGCGCACTGTCACCATGTATGTGACATTACCTCATGTTACACAGAGGACCCAACCTGCCCAAGGTCACAGGGAACGAGTGGCAGAGCAGCAGCAATTGTCCCGTGACCACAGTACCTTCCTTGGTACAGGATTGGGGGACATTTATATGGATACTTTTATTGAGTTGCTGCATTTGCTATTTTGTAGCTTTTGGACACCTGACAATACATTGTAAACATCCTTTGGTTCATCAGATATGTACTTAGACTTTTATTTTTGTTCTTTTTTTCCAGTCCCAGGGCTTCAGGCTTGAGTGCTGTCCCTGAGCTTCTTTTGTTCAGGGCTAACATTCTACCACTCAAGCCACAGCACCATTTGGAGACAAGAGTCTCAGACTTTCCTGCCTGGGCTGGCTTCAAACCTTGTCCTCAAATCTCAGCCTCCTGAGTAGCTAGAGTTACAGGCATGAAGGGTTTTATAATTTTTAAGATGCCATTCACTGGGATAAAACACTGCAAGCCCTGTGTCAAACTAATGTCCTAAGCAGAGGAAGCAATATAGCTTCCAGACAGCCCAGCCTAGCCAGCACCCCATCTTCCCTAAGATGGACAGAAGCACAGACAGGTCTCCAGCCTGGAAAAAAATTAGGAGCTGACAGTACATATTTCCATCTTTCCTCCCTGCTCTACTGGGCAGGACCTGCCACAGGACATTTAAGGGGCAGCGTCCAAGGCTGAGCACAGAGGTGCCCACAAGGAGTCCCAACTCTGGGCCTCTTCCCTGTGGACACATCCCAGGCTGAGGGAGCAAGTGATACAGAGATTGAGGGGCAGAATGAGCCTGTGGACACAGCTGGGCTGTTCTCTTGCAGGAGGAGAGGATGACAGGTGCCATAGTTGATTATTGATTTGCCTTTGCATCTCTGATGCTGCCATTCTTCCCAAGGACAGACTCAATGGAAAAAAGCAAGCACAGTGTCAGTTTGTAATGGCTATTTTGAGTGGCATCTTGTTGGCCTCCATCACGTGTAGTGCCCTACCCTGGAGGATGCAGAGCCTTGGGATCCTCCCAGCCCGGGTCCCGTCCCAGTACCACTGGCTTTGGCCTTGAGACCTAGTCCAGATCGCAATGGGGCTTGGCTCCCTTCTTTTGACACTGGGATGGCTAAGGCCTAATCCTGCCCTCCTCACCCAACCCCTTCCTCTGTTAGCCCTTCCTCTTCTTTTCTTCCTCCCCAACTGGGTAGTGGGTATAAATGCTGGAGCTTCAGCTGGGAGCAGGGCTTGGTCTTGGCTTGGCTCTCTTGGGCACATGACCTCACTATTGTGGGCCTCATTTTTCTCACCTCTCAAATGGGATCATACTTATCTCTCCCTTCTAAATAGGGTTTGTAAGAATCAATAAAGTCACAGAGGGATGGGCACCTGTGGCTCACACCTAACTACTTTGGAGGCTGAGATCTAATGATCACAGTTCAAAGCTAGCCCAGGCAGGAAAGTTCATGAGACTCTTATTTCCACCAAAAGATTCAAGTGGTAGTGTACCAGCTAAGGAGATCCCAAGGCTTTGAGTTCAAACCCTAGTACACAGGTACATGAATACAGTGGCTGGTGGCTGGCCCAAAGCAGGGGTGAGGGTCATAGCGGAAGTTACTGCTGTCTGTGTGTAGCTTTCTATGTCATTGCTTTCTCTCTCAGGTATTGAATGTGGAAAGGAATCAACTGACGTATCTCCCACGCTCCATTGGGAACCTGATCCAGCTCCAGACCCTCAATATAAAAGGTATGTGACCAGAAAGCCTTGCCCCTTTGGGCAGCTCCTGGTTAACATAGCCAAGAACCACAAGGGAGGCACTCCCTGAGCCACTAAGCATGGGGGCAACGCTACAAACCAGATAGGCCTACTGCTAGGAGACAGGTGTATCCAGAGGGTTCCCTGACTGCTCAGAGCCAGGGCTTTGTGAGAGGAGGGCCAGGCAGCAGGATCATCTGGGCGGAGGGAGGGACCGAAGGAATGAGTGATGGAGAAGCCTCTGCAGCAGTTCTGAATGACAGTCTGTGAGGCAGGCCGAGGACTGTGGGGGTGGGGGCATTTCAGCTGAGGAAAGCGAGACTTGAGACCAGCCCAGATGATAGTGCAGGCTCCTTACTCTCTGCAGAGACCCCACCTCAGATGCCCAGCTCCTTAGTTTCCTGCCCCTAAGTGGTCTCTACACAGCTTAGCTAACTGGTACATGTGACCAGTTGTAAAAATTGTGGTCCCCACCAGAGGCTGGTGACTCACACCTATAATCCTAGCTACTAGGAGGCATGCGTGCACGCGCGCGCGCGCACACACACACACACACACACACACACAAAATAGTGGTGTCCCATTTATTGATTGTTGACAGGGTATCACGTGCATCTTCTCTGTGCTGAGGCTTTATCTTACAATAAGATGAAAAAACTGGGGTTCACAGTGGTATAGCTAGTTCTCCAAAGTCCTCAGTAAGTGGTAGCTGACCTCCTGCCCCTCCTCTGGTCCTGTGAGTGTCAGGCAGGACAGTTGCAGGATTCTGGGTTGCTGAGCTCTGCTCTTGGGCTCTGTCCAGACAACAAGTTGAAGGAGCTGCCAGACACCACGGGGGAGCTGCGGAGCCTGCGCACTCTAGACGTCAGTGGAAATGAGATTCAGAGATTGCCGCAGTTGCTTGCACACGTTCGGACCCTGGAGGTGAGTGTAGAGCCAGGGCTCCCCGGGGTGCCCTCTGAATGCCGCAGGGTGCCAGGTCCCAGAGATCCTGAAGTGCTCATAGAGACAGATGTGTGGGCAGGAAGCCAGGTGTAAGCAGAGGTTTAACCTGCATAAGAGTGGCATTTGAACCAGATCTTGAAGAATGAGATATGGGCTGGTGGCTCACACCTGTAATCCTAGCTACTCAGGAGGCTGAGATCTGAGGATCCCGGTTCAAAGCCAGCCCAGGCAGGAAAGTCCGTGAGACTCTTATCTCCAATAAACCATCAGAAAACCGGAAGTGGCGCTGTGGCTCAAGTGGTAGAACACTTGCTTTGAGCTGAAGAGCTCAGGGACAGCACCCAGGCCCAGAGTTCAATCCTCGCAACCAAAAAAGAAAAGAAAAGAAAATGAGATGTAGGCATGGACGTGGCCAACAGGAGCTTCTAGGAGAGGAAACAGGGCAAGGAGAGGCCAGAGGTGGGATGCACAGGGTATGCTGGGAGGGGAAGCAAGGTGCCCAGAAGGTGCTGCTCCTAGAGCCCAGATCCTAGGAGCCTAGGAAGCTGGAAGGGCAAGGGAGACAGGAAGTGGGGGCTGTGCCTTGGCCTGGCAACACAGAAACCCATGCCATCAGAGCATGAGGTGTGTGTCAGCTCAGGCAGCCATAATGAACAGCAGACGTTGGGCAGTACACACAGGTGAAATGTGTGGAAGCCCAAGACAAGGTGCTGATGGGTTCCCTTCCTTCTGGAGACACAGAGGAACCCACTCAAAGCTGTCCTCTGGGAAGTAGGCTCTCCAACATGTGACTGACAGCCAGTGCTTACTAAGTCAAGGCCTGTGTTAGCTCCCCGAATCTTCACAGCAATCGTGTGAGGCAGATATTGTGGTGCCACTTACCAGGTGAAGAAACTGAGGCCCAGGCAGTGGGCAGGCTCTCCCCAGGACTACACGGCGAGAGTCATAGATGACATGTCTGTCAGGCTGTCTGGATCTGCCCCCTGTGCTTGTCACCTCTGCATAGCTCGGTGTCTGGAGTGGGGACATCTCTATCAAATCTGGCCAGGCATCCGAGGAGACACCTCTCTGCAGTCAGATCTGAGCAGACGGGCTGGGGTGAGGTGGGAGGGGGTGGACAGACAGTGAGGGGAAATGGCCATCCTCCACAGAGGGGCCTCTGCTGGGGCACAGGCCTCAGAAGGATTCTCAGGACAGCTGCAGGCAGGCCAACACGGGTCCATTCAGTGCTACCCATGAGAATGTCCTGTCCTGACTGTACTGTCCAAATCAGTGGCCACGCTGAAGGCCAGGTGTGGTGGCTGTGTGGTGGCTGAGGAAGCCGTGGCTCGGGACAGCTCAGGGACCCCACAGTGGGTTGGACTGGGCTGGGTCACAACTCTGGTCAGTAATGGAAACGTTCTGTCATGTATGCTGGCCCCAGGGAACCACTAGCCACCTGTGAGCCATTAAAACATGGCGCAGGAACTGATGTTAAACCCGACGTGACTTTAGCTAAGTAAAATTTCCGTGTACATGGCCACATGCAGCCGCTACACATTGCTGGTGACCAGGACCACCTGGGTGAGGTCAGTTTGCTTGGTAGGCGGGGGAGACAGCACTGGTTCATTCTGTCCTGTGAAACTGCATGGCCTGTGGTCATGCTGGGCAGTAAGGAGCCCCTGTGTCCACAGACGCTGAGCCTCGACGCCTCGTCCATGCTGTATCCCCCGCGGGAGGTGTGTGGCGCTGGCACCGCAGCCGTGCAGCAGTTCCTCTGCAAAGGTAAAAGCAGGCCACCTGCCCCCACCAGCCACCCTGTGCCACCCACACTGGGACAGCAGAGGCCAGAGGGCTGCCATCCCTGCCTGCCTGGAGCTCAGGCTCTGGCAAAGCAAGCACACACTGAAATGAAGTCACAGGCTGGGCTTGGGAGCTGGGACGTGGGCACATCTCAGGTAGGAAGACTCACCTGAGCAAGAGCATGGCTGGCACCTGAGAGTCGGCCAGGACTTGGAAAAGAGAGGCTGTGTGCAGAAGGTTGTGCACATGGAAGGGCTGTGAGGGGCAGAGAAGCCTGAGCTGTGATGGACAGCAGGCCAGTGTGTCTGGAGCACCAGAGCCCGGGGAAGAGAGATGGAGAGGAAGCCAGAGGGGCCCGGGCCCAGTGTCCAGGAAGACTTGTTTCCTCAAAGGTTGCTCAGGCTCTGTGAGGAGAAGGGAACTGGGGATGGGAAGCCAAGTAGGCCACTGGATCATGGAGGAAGAGGTGATGGTGACCTGAACCTGAGGAAGGGCAGGGCAAGGCAGCAGGAGCTAAAACCTGGGGCTGCTGATGGCCAGAACAGCAGAGGGGTGTGACGTGCAAGTCAGGGTAGATGTCTTGTGTCTGCAGAGCTTTCAGAACAGAGCCAAGGCACACATACACATGGTCTTCTGATTCATGATGAAGCAATGGTACAAGTGACCTTTGTAGTATGTAAATGATTCCAGATCAGTTGGGTCTCTTTGTGAGGAAAAATGAACTCTGGACCCAGGGTGCAGACAGATCAGAGATAGAACAGGACCCTGGGTTCCGTCTCCAGCACCACAAAATAAAATAAAAGTGAGCCAGGCATGGTCCTCACATGTGTAACATCAGCTACTTAGGAGGCAGATATTGGGAGGATCACAACTTGAGATCAACCTAGACAAAAAAATTAATAAAACTTCCTCTCAACCAATGAAAAGAGTTGTGGTCCAGTCCAGCCTGTGCATAAATGAGAGACCTTATTCAAAAGATGACTAAAGCCAAAAGCAATGGGGACGTGTGGGTTGAGTGGTAGAGTACTCCTGGCTTGGCAAGCTCAAGGCCCTGAATTCAAATCTCATTACCACCAAAATAATAATAATAATAGCAGTAACCATGTTTATTTTATTGGAATTTGGTTAGTTTCCCTTTTGTGTGTTTGGGGGGAGGGGTTGTTTTGGTTGATATTGGAGCTAGAGCTCTACCACGTGAGCCATGCTCTCAGACATTAACCAATTAGTTAATAAGTGAGACTGAATTCAAATCAAAGCCTCTCTCCTACCGTTAGTGGCATTTTAGCCCACACCTTCCATAGCACAGTGTGAACTGTGCCACGAGGGACAGTGTACAGCAAGGAACTTATGTGTTTCCACCCCATGAGGACCTTCCTCCCCTCAGCCTGGCTGATGCTATTGTCTTCGAGATTCTACTAATAAGGGCTGGATGTCTTTGTGCTGAGGCCTTGCCTAGCAAGTGTGAGGCCCTGGGTTCCATCCTAACAATTCAGGAAAAAAGAAGTCAATTTGATAAACAACAGATCTTGATATTTTACTCTTTTTTTCATGTTTTTATTTTTTTTTTTAAATTTTTTATTTTTTTTTTGTCGGTCGTGGAGCTTGAACTCTGGGCCTGGGCACTGTCCCTCAGCTCTTCAGCTCAAGGCAAGCACTCTACCACTTGAGCCACAGCTCCACTTCCGGTTTTCTGAGTGGTTTATTAGAAATAAGAGTCTCATGGACTTTTCTGCTGGGGCTGGCTTTGAACCATGATCCTCAGAGCTCAGCCTCTTGAGCAGCTAGGATTATAGGCATGAGCACTGGTGCCCAGCTTATTTATTTTATTTACCCATTTAAATTTTTTATTGTTATAAAGGTGATGCAAAGGGCTGGGAAGGTGGCTCAGTGGTAGAGCGCTTGCCTTGCATGCTCAAGGCCCTGGGTTCGATTCCTCAGCACCACATAAGCAAAAAGTAAAAAGCTGGAAGTGGCGCTGTGGCTCAAGTGGTAGAGCGCTAGCCTTGAGCTGAAGAGCTGAGGGACAGCGCCCAGGCCCAGAGTTCAGGCCCCACGACCGGACCAAAAAAAAAAAAAAGGTGATGCAAAGAGTATTTTTTTTAAGTTTTAGCAAGGATTTATTTTAATATAGCAGGATAGAGAAGGGAGAAATAGGAAAACATTTCCTGTTTTCTGTGCAGGAAATGGGAGTTACAGACTCAAAATAGTGGCTACAATAAAAGCTACAACTAGCCTTGAGCAAAATGCTCAAGGACAGCAGTCAAGCCCTGGGGGAGGGGAGCAGGGCACGCACATACAGAGTCTGTAGCTTTCTTTTTATTTTTTTTTGTGGCACTGGGTTTGGACTCAGGGCCTTGTACTCACTAGGCAGGCATTCTACCACTTCTGCCACTGAGCTACACCTCCAGCCCAACTGCAGAGCTTTTCTTCTTTCTGAGCTTTTCTTCTCTGTGAGCTGTGCTCCTATCATCTAGCAATCCTAATCCTTTACACAAAGGAGCAGGATGGGTCAGACAGTGAGACCCTGCCAAGATCCAGAAGACCTTTGGGACTCCCTTTTGCACACGTAACTTGCATTCTCTCGGATGTTAGTTCAGTGTTGCTTCCCTGATTCTCTGGATTTTTGTTTCATGTGTAGACAGACAGCAGACTGCCTATTTCTAGCATTACTTTCTTTCTTTTTCTTTTTTTTTTGTTCTTATTGTTTTTGGTTGTGGGGCTTGAACTCAGGGCCTGGGTACTGTCCTTGAGCTCTTCTGCTCAAGGCTAGTGCTTTTCTGGTAGTTAACTAGAGATAAGAGTCTCATGGAATGCCGGGCGCTGGTGGCTCACGCCTGTAATCCTAGCTACTCAGGAGGCTGAGATCTGAGGATCACGGTTCAAAGCCAGCCCGGGCAGGAGAGACCGTGAGACTCCTATCTCCAATAAACCACCAGAAAACCGGAAGTGGCGCTGTAGCTCAGGTGGTAGAGCGCTCGCCTTGAGCTGAAGAGCTGAGGGACAGCGCCCAGGCCCAGAGTTCAAGCCCCATGACCGACAAAAAAAAAAAAAAAAAGAGTCTCACGGATTTTCTTGCTGGTGCCGGCTTTGAACCATGATCCTCAGATCTCAGTATCCTGAGTAGCTAGGATAGCAGGTGTGAGCCACAGATTCCCTGCCTTCTGGTATTTCTTTCTTTTTTTTTTTTGTCGGTCGTGGGGCTTGAACTCTGGGCTTGGGTGCTGTCCCTGCGCTCTTCAACTCAAGGCGAGTGCTCTACCGCTTGAGCCACAGAGCCACTTCTGCTTTTCTAGTGGTTTATTGGACATAAGAGTCTCATGGACTTTCCTGCCTGGGCTGGCTTTGAACCATGATCCTCAGATCTCAGCCTCCTGAGTAGCTAGGATTACAGGTGTGAGCCACCGGTGCTCCACTTGGTATTTCTTGTTAGTTGCCTACTCTCACCATTCCAAAGTGGGAGTATAGAAGCTAACTGACAAAAAAGAAAAGTTGCAAACAATGCCAGACTTGGTGGACACACCTGTAATCCCAGTACTCAGCAGATGAGTCAAGAGATAAAGTCCTGGGCTACATAGCTAGACCCTATCTCAAAAGATAAAACCAAACAGTGCAATAGAAAAGTGTAAGGCATGAACCCTTTTAAAGTATGCAGGAGGAAACTGTCAGAGCCAGAGGAGAAAGTCATGCCCAAGGTGTCACACACATAGATACTATGTCCGGGCCCCAGTTTCTTCACTAAGTTCTGGGTTCTCACTCAGGAATGCAGATGCCCATCTGTTCATCAACTAACACTGCACTGAGCACTTGCCAATTTCTGGTTAACACATGTGAACACATGGTGGGCCCAGAGGAGCAGCAAGCACTGAGAGCACACAGGACTGAGCTGGGCAGAGCTTCCAGGGAGAGCAGGAGGAAGGTGGGGCAAGGGCAGAGGTGGGGGGCGGGGGCCTCCCTGGCAGCCTGTGTCTCTCTCTTGCAGAATCAGGGCTGGAATATTACCCCCCTTCTCAGTATCTACTGCCTGTTCTGGAGCCAAATGGAGCTGAGATCTCCCAGGACAGCCCCGATGGGCCCACAGACAGGTTCTCCCGGGAGGAGGTGGAATGGCAGGTGAGCTTAGCCTGCCTGTTGCTGTGAGTGCGCATGCATGGTGGTGTGCATGAAGGTGTGCACACACATGGATGTGCCCACGTGTGTATTGGGGGAGACAACTGGCATGATATGTTCATTGCTGTACCCCAAAATTTCTCCATTCAGTCCAACAGGCTTAGCTTCTTTTTTTCTTTCTTTTGTCATAGACATGAGTGGAGGTTTGGGGGATTTTTTTTTACTATTATTATTAGCATATATTAATTGTAGAAAGTAAGGAGCTTTATCCTGACAGGTAGGCTTAGCTTTGTTTTCTAGGCCCTTGTGTGGAAGCCTCAGATACTAGCTCACCAAACATCATTGGTCCAGGTTTCTCTCTGTTCCTGAGCAAGCCACATCCCTTCCCACTAGGGCCATTGATCCAATGGTTCCTTCCCTTTTTTTTTTTTTGGTCAGTCGTGGGTCTTGAACTCGGCCTGGACGCTGTCCCTGTGCTCTTCAGCTCAAGGCTAGTGCTCTTCCACTTGAGCCACAGTGCCACTTCCTGAACCAATGGTTCCTGAGTCTGAATTCTCCCCAATATCACCGTTCGGTTCTCAGGTTGAAGGTCATTTTGCTTTTACAGGGCTCAGTGTCACCTTGTATCAAGTACACTGAAATAATTGATGACAGGCTGCCTCTTCTGCCGGGCAGAGCTTCCTAAGAGACAGGGTTGCAACAAACATCTCACACCACACCGGAAGCTCACATATCAGGCCCTCTGATAGCCCTAGGTCAGGGTGGCATCACAGGGACACGGGCAGGAATGTCAGCTGCCTGTAGGCCTGGCTTTATCTCCCAGAGATTCTTTTTTTTTTTTCCTTTTGTCGGTCATGGGGCTTGAACTCTGGGCCAGGGCACTGTCCCTCAGCTCTTCAGCTCAAGGCTAGTGCTCTACCACTTGAGCCACAGCACCACCTCTGGTTTTTTGAGTGGTTTATTGAAGATAAGAGTCTCACAGCCTTTCCTGCCCCAGCTGACTTTGAACAGCAATCCTGAGATCTCAGCCTCCTGAGTAGCTAGGATTACAGGCGTGAGCCACTAGTGCCCAGCATTCTCAGTAATTCTTCTGCCAGTCTCTGGCTCTTAGTTTCTCCCTTCCTGCTTTCACTGCTGATGTGAATGCTTTACATTTCTTTTTTTTTCTTTCCTCTTCCTCGTCTTCCTCCTCCTCTTCCTCTTCTTCTCCTTTTCCTCCTCTTTTTCCTTCTTTGTATTGGTACTGGGGCTTGAACTCAGGGCCTCATGCTCTCGCTTGGCTCCACATCTAGCTTTTTGGTAGTTAATTGAAGGTAAGAGTCTCATGAACTTTTTTGTCCAGGCTAGCTTCAAAACTCAATCCTCAGGTTAGGGTTAGGGTTAGGGTTAGGGTAAAAAAAAACAACTCAATCCTCAGATCTCAGCCTCCTGAGTAGCTAGGATTACAGGCATGAGTCCCCAGCAAGCCCCCAGCTTATATCTCTAATGATAGTGGAAATTGAGGAAGAATCAGGAAAATTGAACACTCTCATACTTTAAAAGTGTTCACAAGGCTGGGAAGGTGGCTCAGTGATAGAGCGCTTGCCTTGCATGCATGAGTCCCTGGGTTCGGTCCCCAGCACCACATAAGCAGAAGAAAAAAAAAAAGGCAGAAAGTGGCGCTGCAGCTCAAGTGGTAGAGCACTTGCCTTAAGCTGAAGAGCTGAGGGACAGCGCCCAGAACCAGAGTTCAGGCCCCACTACTGACAAAAAAAAAAGTGTTCACAAAAAAAAAAAAAAAAGGCATCATTACCTATGATGTTGTGACCCATTGGCGGGCATCTGAGCTTGCGGTCTGGTCTGCAGAGTAATTAATTCTGCAGAAAGTTGTACACACAGCTTTGTGCCAGTGTGTTGGTGGCCGCTGTGGGTTTTGCAGACATCTGGGGAATGGAGCTTTTACAGTGCTGCCTTCCCAACACTGTCCCAGAGCCTGTGGTGGCTTCACCCTGGGGTTCTCAGTTCTCATCTTGCCATCCCCCCAACCTCCTGGCCAGCAGTCAGGGGAGCCATGGTTGGCCATCAGCCAGCCAGAACCACAGCAGCTGCCTTCTCCTGACCTCTGTCTTTTCTCCCCCAGAATAGGTTCTTGGACTATGAAAGGCGGAAGGTAAGATGAGATACCTCTTACTCTGTAACTTTGCTTCATACTCCTGGGGAAACAGCTTTTAATTTTTTTTTTTAATTTTTTTTTTTTGGGTCCAGTCGTGGGGCCTGAACTCTGGGCCTGGGCACTGTCCCTCAGCTCTTCAGCTCAAGGCTAGCGCTCTACCACTTGAGTCACAGCGCCACTTCCGGCTTTTTTCTTTTTGCTTGTGTGGTGCTGAGGAATGGAACCCAGGGCCTCAGGCATGCAAGGCAAGCGCTCCGCCGCTGAGCCACCTTCCCATCCCTGCTTTTAATTTTTTTTATTGTTATTATAAAGGTGATATACAGGGGGGCGCCAGCAGCTTTTTTTTTTTTTTTGCCTGTACTGGAACTTGAACTCAGGGCCTGGGCCTGGGTGCTATCCCTTAGCTTTTTTGCTCAAGGCTGGTGCTCTACCATTTGTGCCACAACTCCACTTCTGGCTCTGGAGACAAGAACCTCAAGGACTTACCTGCCCTAGCTGGCTTCAAGCAGTGATCCTCAGATCTCAGCCTCCTGAGTAGTTAGGATGACAGGCATGAGCCACTGGAGCCAGGCTGGGGAGCGGCTTCTTGCAGGCTGTGGTCAGAAGTGAAGGGTGTTGGTGTCGGTCCCCCAGGAGCAAAAGGCGCTGGAGAAGCTGGAGTTCGAGCGGCGTCTGGAGCTAGGGCAGCGGCAGCACGCCCAGCTGCTTCAGCAGAGCCACAGCCAGAAGGACGAGATCCTGCAGACAGTCAAGGAGGTTGGTGCCCCTCCTGACAACGAAGGGCCCCCTGAGGCAGAATGGCAGGGGGCCCTGTGCAGCACCCAGGCCACAGCCCCCATGGTATACACTGCGGGGCCCAGCGGCTCAGATCCCTGCCTCGGTGTACAGGAGCAGACACGGCTGGAGCAGGAACTAAGTGAGCACCAGCGCTACCTCGATGCAGAGCGACAGCGGCTACAGGAGCAGCTGAAGCAGACAGAGCTGACCATCGCTGGCCGCATCCAGAAACTCCTGCGAGACAACCAGAGGTCAGTCCCTGGCCTGGCCTGGAGCCAGAATGCCCTCCACGATGCCCTGAGAGGGCTCCTTCCCACCCTTGAATCAAGATCTCTGTACTTGCCAAGTCTTCCACTGCCTAAGTCCAGGCTGGTGCTTCAGTGCACCAACATAAAGAGCAGCATTACAGGTCTGGGTTCCTGTCATGGAACTCTTCTGTCCATCCACCCCCCCCCCACACACACACACCAGGCCTCAGGTAAGTGTGCCCCACAGGCCCCATTATGTTCTGTAAAATAGATGGGCTTAACACTGTAGCTAAGGCCAAGCCCTGCTCTAAGATTTTGAATTCTAAATAGCCTATTGCCTAGGGTCAGCCATTTATTCTATAGTGAGATCTAGCTTAACAAATGCTGTTCAGGGTAGCAGCCACCAAGCTGGAGAGAAAGGGACCAGATGGGGATCTCAAGAAGCCTGAGAAGGCCTAGTTAGCGAGCCCATTGCAGGAAGATTCCAGAAATTGACATTAGCTCTACCCCCACTGCCTCCAGACTTGCTTCTTTCCATCCCTGACACCTGCCAATGACAAAGAACCACGGGAGTCAGGAGTCAGGCCACCATTCGTTAGAACTTGTTACTCCCAACCACTCTGTGGTTTTCTCATTGGCTGAACAAACAACCCAAGAAACGTTTTGTTTGTTTTATTCTCATTTCACAGGTGAGGCCCAGGACAGCCACTCCCCTCCCCCGCAGCCGCCTGAGCTCTAGGCTGGGGTCCGCTGAGCTGTGTCCAGACAGCGGGTGGGGGCAGCACAGTTGGAAGGGGCCTGCTGTGACCACAGAGGCCTTCTCTGGGTTTCTCCACAGGCAAAAGAAAAGCTCCGAGATTCTGAAGTCACTGGAGAATGAGAGGTAAGAGTTGTGTCCTCCCGGGGCTGCGCTGTGGGGGGAACGTGCCGTGCGGAGACCACTTCTCAGAGGACATGATTACAAGTGTTCACTGCTGTCAGGGGCTTCAGGACATGCCTGCTCCTGAGAAAAACTCCAAAAGCCAAGGAACCAGGCTGGATGCAGAATGCCCAGCTATAGTCTGACTAGTAAAAAGTTCAGGATATAAATAAACAGGACTGGAGACACTTGTCCCTTGGCGTCTGAGGGAGATTGGTTCAGGTCCCTGCAGACTCAAAAACCTGCAGATCTTAACTAAAGTCCTTAACTAAGTCCTTAACTTAAAGTCCTTAAAGTCCTTAACTAAACGAGAAAAGATCTGCCCGTCACTTTCTCTCTCCATGCCTTAGAAAGCCTGTCAGTGCAGCTACTATTCTTTAGGGAATAGTGGCCAGAAAAAAAAAAAAAGTATGTTCGTGTTCTGCATCGATGCAATTCTTATTTTAATGTATTTGATCTAAAACTGGGCACCAGTGGCTCATGCCTATCCTTGCTACTTAAGAAACAGACTGGGAGGATTACAGTTTGAGACCAGTCTAGAGGGGAAAGTTCATGAGACTCCTTCTCAGTTCAGCTATGTTCAGTGGCAAGCACCGCTCATCGTTATACACAGGAGACTATTGGGAGGACTACAGTTCCAGGTCAGCCCAGGCATGGAAGTCCATGAGGCTGCTCAAGGAAGGATGCGGGTGGGGTTACATGTGCCTCCAGAGTGCTGGGATTATAGTCATGTACCACCATACCTGGCATTTTCTTTTAGGGGTGGCACTAGAGTTTAAACTCAGGGCCTTGCACCTGTTAGGCCACATCCTCATTCCTTTTGCTTTGTTATGGTTTTGTTTTTATTTTATTTCCCTTTGTTCTATTTCTGGTGTCAGCACTGAGGCTTCAACCCAGTGCCTCAAGTTCCCACTCCCCTGTTTTGCTCTAGGCTGGTGTTCTGCCACTTGAGCTACACCTCCACTTCTAGCTTTTTGCTAATTAATTGGAGAGAAGAGACTTTCAAATTTGTCTGCCCAGGCTGGCTCGTAACTGTAATCCTCAGATCTCAGCCTCCTGAGTAACTAGGTTTATGGTTGTTTTTCAACTAGGGACTCAAATAGGCTGGCCTCAAACTGTGACCTTCCTATGTACACTTCCTTGTGGCTGGGATGACAGGTGCATGATACCACACCCAGTTTTTTTCATTGGCTGAGATGAGATCTTGAGAACTTTTTGGTGGAGATGGCCTCAAACTAAGATCCTCCTGATTTCTACCTGCTGAGTGCTGGGATTGCAGGCATGCACCATCATGACTGGTTCAGTGTTCTTCATTTCAACCAGTATGACAGGTAAAGAGACCTGGCTATCTTTAGTTATGGGCAGTATTCCACATCTTCCCATTTGTTTGCTGGGCACTGGTGCTGGACATCCCAGGCCACTTTTCTAAGGGCATATTCATCTTTACAAGGCATTCTTGCCTTCAAGGCCCTACGTGAGCTGGGTGATGCCCTGGGGTTCAGGGAGCACATTGTGGGAAATCAGGATGAGCTTCCTAGAGGAGACAGTATGAGAGCAGTGGGAGGCCCTGCTGAAGATGTTAGGGTGGATGTTCTTTTCTAGAATAAGAATGGAGCAGCTGATGTCCATAACCCAGGAAGAGACAGAGAACCTGCGGCGCCGAGAGATCGCCTGTGAGTTGTGGGTTGGGGAGGCCGAGGGCCCTGCAGGCAGCACTTAGCTGGGTTGGTGGTACACAGCCCCCTCCCAGCTGGTCACATGCGGAGCGGAGCCGAGCAGCAACAGGCAAGTCCCGGTTGGAGCTTGGGCTCTAGGATTTGTTAGGCTTGGGTACAGACACCAGCTATGAGACCACAGAGACATCACTGGCCCCTGGCTGTCCTCTCAATAAAATGGGGGAGACCATAACTCTCCCCTCCCCACCTCATTGGCCATCAGGAGGGCAGCTGGGGCCAAGCTGGCCAACTCTGAGCATGTCCAAATCTGGCCGTTCTGACTTCGGCTACCCAGAGCTGAGGACTGTCCCTCTTAGTTCCCAGGCACCCCACCCTTCCCGACATGCCCCAAGGGTCCCAGACGCCACATGGTCCTCAAGCTGGGGAAGAGGCACGCTACTGCCTGAGTCTTGTCTCCAGGCTCTTTTTGCCTTGGTAAATTTCAAGGTAGAGTCTGGCTTGATACCCTGGCCAGCCTGGGCTGCAGTCCTCCAACTGGAGCTTCCCTGTATTGCTGGGCATCACATTGCTCCCAGCCATTGTGTTTCCCTCTCCCCTATTTGCTGAGATTCCAGGTGTCTGCCATAATGCCCAGCCATTGGTGGGAACAGAATCTCCGGAATTTTTTTTTTTTTTTTTGCCTAGGCTTACCAAAGATACCCTGGCAATGGTGGCTCATACCTATAATCTTAACTACTCAAGAAGCTGAAATCTGAGTATCAAGGTTCGAAGCCAGCCCAGGCAAGAAAGTCCATGAGACTTTTATCTCCAGTTAACCACCAAAAAGCCAGAATTAGAGCTATGGCTTAAGTGCTTGAGAGCCAGCCTTCAGTGAAAAGGCTCAGGGACAGTGCCAAGGCCCTATGGTAAAGCCTAGGACCAGCACAAAAAAAGAAGAAACAAAAGCAGGAGGGCCAGGAAGGTGGCTCAGTGGTGGAGCGCTTGCCTTGCATGCGTGGGGCCCTCGGTTCGATTCCTCAGCACCACATAAGCAGAAAAAGCCGGAAGTGGGGCTGAGGCTCAAGTGGTATAGTGCTAGTCTACACCTGAAGAGCTGAGGGACAGCACCCAGGCCCAGAGTTCAGGCCCCATGACAGCCAAAAAAAAAAAAAGCAGGAAGAGGTAACCCTGAGTTTCAGGCACGCAATGCTGAGCTGTCCTGTAAGCCGCATGCTCAGTGAGTGGAAAGGAAACCCGATGTATTATCCATGGCATTAAGTGTTTATTGGAATTATTCTCAGAAATTTGTCAAATAGTCAAATGTTCACTAAGGTATTTGAACAAGGATCTTTTAATGTTCTTAAAAGTCTCTGCTTTTTGCCAGGCACTGGTGGCTCACGCCTGTAATCCTAGCTACTCAGAGGCTGAGATCTGAGGATTGAGGTTCAAAGCCAGCCCATGAAACTCTTATCTCCAGTTAACCACCAGAAAAACAGAAGTGGCACTGTGGCTCCAAGTGGTAGAACCCTTGCCTTGAGCTAAAGAGCTCAGGGACAGTACCCAGGCCCAGAGTTCAAGCCCTATGACGACAAAAAAAAAAAATCCTTGATTTTGATTTTTTTTTTGTATGTGCCAGAGGCTTGAACTCAGTGAGAGCTATCTCTTACTTTTTCACACAAGCCTGGTACTCTACCACTTGAACCACAACTCTACTTCTGGCTTTTTTGTTTTTTATTTTTTATTGGTTTTATAAAGGTGAGGTACAAAGGGGTTATAGTTACATAAGTCAGGTAAAGAGTACATTTGGGGGGGCAGTGTCACCCCTTCCCTCACTTCTAGTCTTCACTTCTGGCTTATTGATGGTTAGTTGGAAAGAAGAGTCTTACTGACTTTCCTGTCAGGCTGGCTTCAAACTTCCATGTCAGTCTCCTGAATAGCTAGGATCACACACATGAGCCACTGGTGCCTGGCTCTTTTATGTCAATTTTTACAAACCTATAAACATGCATAAAAATTGACTGGAAGACCATATATCAAAATGTAATATGTCTGGGTCTCAGGGCTGTAGAAGATTGTTTGGTATTATATGGCTAACCAGCCTTCCAAGCTTAGATTACTTTTTTTTTTTTTTTCCGGCCCTAGGCCTTGAGCTCAGGGCCTGGACTCTATCCCTGAGTCTCTCTGTGCTCAAGGCTAGCACTTTACCACTTGAGCCACAGCACCACTTCTGGCTTTTTTCTGCTTCTGTGTTACTGAGGAATCGAACCCAGGGCTTCATGATTGCTACGCAAGCACTCTACCACTAACCCAGCCCTTAAGTTACTTTTATAATTAAAAAGAGCCTCAGTTTAAGGTTGAATAGCAGGCAGGTAAGTAGGGAAAGCCTCAAGTCCTGTCTCTAGCAGCAGAGGAAGTCCTGCTGCATGTCCCTTTCTCATCCACCCACCCCACCTGTCTGCAGCCGCCATGCAGCAAATGCTGACCGAGAGCTGCAAGAGCCGCCTCATCCAGATGGCCTATGAGTCTCAGAGGCAGAGCCTGGTCCAGCAGGCCTGTTCTAGGTAAGGGGCGGGGGGTGGGAAGGTGGGGGGGGGATTCCAGGTGAGCTGCAGGGAGCCACCTCAGACCCCTAACACTGGGGTAAGAAAGAGCTGAGTACTGGTGGCCCCTGCCCTGGGCTGCCCAGCCTCGACAAAGCTGTTATAAGCAAGTGATCCTGGCCTTCCAGATTTTTCTAGCAAGGACCTCATGCCTGGGTTGGCCCCAGAGAAGACCACCATTTCCTGTGTCACACATTCGCTATGTTGTGAGCCAGGCACAGACAGGCCCAGTGCTTGGCTGCCTGGCATATCTGTGAGGGGCAGTGTCAAAGCAGGCTCGTAGAGTCTCAGAGCACAGTCAGGTGGGGGCCAAATAGGGGTGTTCTTGACCATGGAGGGGCACAGGTTGGGGATGTTATGTGCTAGGGGATGCATAGCTGCTTCCGTGCTGATGGCCACTTGGGTCCAAAGCGCTGAGCTCACCACAGCCCTGTGGGCTTGGGGAAGGTTCCAGGTACCCAGCAGAGCAGTGGGGAAAAGCTCAGTCGGTGCCTGGCTGCTCAGATCACAGTCTCAGCCCTGGCCACCCTGCATGTTGCCCCCTCCTGGCCACCGGGTCAACTTCCTGAGTCCTCAGATGCTGGCATCTCCCTGCTTTCCTGATGGGTGACTTGGTGCTCAGGAACCCAGGCATGGGGGACTCTACTGGCTAACTGTGAACCTGGGGGTGAGTTGCTTTTGCTTCCTAAGCTGTGAATTTCTTATCAGAAAAGTGAGGTGAGCAGGCATCGGTGGTCACACCTGTAACCCTAGCTACTCAGAGCACTGAGCTCTGAGAATCATGGTTCAGACCAAGTCTGGGCAGACAAATCTGAGACACTCTGTGTGTGTGTGTGTGTGTGTGTGTGTGTGTGTGTGTGTGTGTGTGTGTGTGTGTGTGTGTGTGTGTGTGTGTGTGCTTTATTTTATTTATTTATTTTTTGCTGGTTGTGGGGCTTGAACTCTGGGCCAAGTCTGGGCAGACAAATCTGAGACACTCTGTGTGTGTGTGTGTGTGTGTGTGTGTGTGTGTGTGTGTGTGTGTGTGTGTGTGTGTGCTTTATTTTATTTACTTATTTTTTGCTGGTTGTGGGGCTTGAACTCTGGGCCTGGGGCGCTGTCCCTCAGCTCTTCAGCTCAAGGCTAGCACTCTACCACTTGAGCCACAGCACCACTTCCAGCTTTTTCTGTTTACGTGGTGCTGAGGAATTGAACCCAGGGCCTCAAGAAAGCAAGGCAAGTGCTCTACCACTGAGCCACCTTCCCAGCCCTGATTAATTTTTTAAAATTAATCAGCAAAAAAGCCATACGTTACGCTTTGACTCAGGTGGTAGAATGTTAACCTTGAGCATAAAAGCTCAAGAACAGTACCCTTGAAGCCACAGAAGTGGCCAAAAAATAAAATAAAAAAAAAGCGAGGTGACTTCCAGGAGCTGCCCGTGGAGCTGTGGCGGGAGCCTTAGCCTCCACCCCGGCTCCGGAAAATGGTTACAAGGGTGGAACAATCTGAGAGCTAAGACCAAACAGGCATGGGGTTTGAACCTGCCACAGCCTCCTAAAGGGCTGAGCCCGGAACACAGGGACTTTACTCCAGCCCAGTGGCTCATGGGCAGCTTGAGGGCGCGTATGGGGCAGGGAGAGGCCAGGTATTCACCTCAGGTGGCCTTTGCTGCGGGGTTCAGTGGCGCTGAGCCAGAGGACCTGGTGTCTCTGCCAGCTCTCAGCTCCACTGCCCTCCTCCCCAGCCAGAAGACTCAAACCCCAAGTGTGCCCCGCTGAGGCCTCGCCCCCCAGCAGGAGCGCTGGCAGTACTGCTGGGCGGAAACATGATTCTCTTGATCTCCTCCAAGACACCTAGCACAGAGCAGGTGCTCAGGAGATGTTGAGTGACAGAGCTGTCTTTCTGGCAGCATGGCTGAAATGGATGAGCGGTTCCAGCAGATTCTGTCATGGCAGCAGATGGATCAGAACAAAGCCATCAGCCAGATCTTACAGGAGGTAAGCCTTGGGCCAGGGGTGCTGGACAGGGGTCCTGACCTAGACCTCACATAAGACCCAGGGACTTTGAGACACTGGAGCTGTGCTAACATCAGGATCCAAGGGTCAGGGGGGCTGAGACACCCAGAGGTGTCTGGGCCCTGAACCTAAAGAAGCAGCCCTGCCTGTCCCCATGGGTCACCTAGCCCTGCCCCAATCTCTGTTCTCCCAAAGTGACATGACGTGGTATCTGTAAGCCTTGTCAGAGACCTGTCACTCCAGGTACCTGCCCCTGGTGGTCTCGCCCCTCCCCCCGCCCCGTGTGGGGGACACTGTGTCCCAGTCAGCCAGTCATAGCTCTGAGCCTCTTCCTCATCAGGGACATGATAGCAGAAGCAGGCTCGTCTTTAGCTACCATAAAACAGTGGGACATGGTGCCAGCCCTATTAAGAACTGTTTTGAAAATTTAAGTAAGTTAGACAGTAGTTTCTCTCTCTCTCTCTCTCTCTCTCTCTCTCTCTCTCTTTCTCTCTCTCTCTCTCTTTTTCTCTTCCTCTCTCTCTTGTGCCAGTCCTGGGGCTTGAACTCAGGGCTGGCTCTATCTCTGAGCTTTTTTTTTTTTGCTCGAGGTTAGCACTCTACCTCTTGAGCCACAGCACTGCTTCTGGCTTTTGTTTTGGTAGGTTACTGGAGATAAGAGTCTCATAGACTTTCCTGCCTGGGCAGACTTTGGACCACTGTCCTCAGAAGATCTCAGCCCCCTGAATAGCCAGGCTTACAGGAATGAGTCACTGGCGCCCGGCCTAGTTTCTCTCTCTTAAGAAACATAGGAATTACCTACGCCGGAATACACAGATCTGATCCCCAGATGGCTCCAGGGAAGGCCAGGATGCACGGCCTGGGTTGTGCAGCCTGTGCTGAACAGCCTGGCACGGTGTCTTGTAGAGTGCCATGCAGAAGGCTGCGTTCGAGGCCCTCCAGGTGAAGAAAGACCTCATGCACCGGCAGATCAGGAACCAGGTGAGTGCTGGGTTGGAGTGCAGGGCTGCAGTCACGCAGCGGAGAGCCTGCTCACCGGCTCGCCAGAGGGGCCTGCCTTGTTCCTCCTACTCCTCAGGAAGACCAGGGCTGGGCTGTTGGTGAGGGCCTGGAGATGTCCTCATCCTCGGCCCTGGCCACAGTCCTACCCAGCTGGGGTGGCCCATTCTCTGGCCGGGACATGTGTGACTGTGGGAAGCCTCTGCACTGGCCTTGGCATAGCAGGACAACAGGGGTTCCTCTCCAGGCAACTGAACAAGAGCTGGAAGCTTCCCTGGGCCGCCGTTAGCAGGGCTGAGGTGGGGCCTCTGCTTCCGAGGGCGTGGAGCAGGGCGTGCGGTGCTGCTATTGAGTGGGCTGCAGCGGGGGCCAGCTTCCAGGCTATGGGAGCACTCATCCCATCACACTTCCGATTCATATTTTTGCATGGTTTTCTTTCTCCTCGTTGTATTTGATCTAAACCAACTTACTTTTATTTTTATTTTTATTTTTTAAATTTCAGTCCCCCATTGTTGGACATGAAGCTCATCCCTCTGACCGAGGGTGGGAAGGGCCAGGGGGCTCAGAGACAGAAGAGGCCCCACGGCCATGGGCAGGTCACTGTGTCAGGTGTGACTCCCCCCCAGACAGCTGAGAGAGTGAGCAGACCCCCGCTCTCAGGGTGGGTGGGCCCCTCGGAGCCTAGGGAAAGGGCGCTTGCTTACTTGCTCTGTGTCGTTGGGCAAGTTACTTAACCTCCCCTTGCGTGTACTGTGGGGTCAGTGATACCTCCTCATGGCCCGGGCACTGCTGAAGTGCTGCAGATAGAGCTCACAGCATGATATGGCACAGTCAGGTGCTTGTAACTCCAGCCTATCATCATTCAGTCACTCCATCGCCCTCTGCTCCCCCCACCTCCACCCCATGACAGCTACGGTGGAGGCAAGAGGAAGGCCTCATGGTTCCAGCCCTGTGGTGCATACCTGTAATCCTAGCTACTCAGGAGGCTGAGGTCTGAGAATACTGGGACTCTTATCTCCAGTTAGCCACAAAAAAGCTGGAAGTAGACAAGTGGCTCAAGTGGTAGAATACTAGCCTTGAGAAAACCAGCTAAGGGGCCGAAGGGACTGTGCCTAGGCTCTGAGTTCAAGCCCCAGTACCAGCACATGCATGCACACACACAGACACAGACACACACACACACACACAGACACACACACACGCACACACACACACTCCCAGTGGTGACCGTCGACCTCCCTCTCCTTGGATCTAGAAGGAATCCCCTCCTTCCCTGCACACCTTTATTTGCGAGCGTCCTGGGACAAGCCCTGTGCTGGGCTCTTGGCCAGCTGCAGCGACCAGGTCGACAGCATGTCATGTCCCAGGTACCCAAAGCCATGAAAGAGGATTCTTTTTACACCTCCTCTGTGTGAGATCCCCTCCAACCCCAGCTTCCCCCCAGGAAGCTTTCTTAGACACCACCCACCTCTGGCCACCAGAGGGCAGCAGAACACAAAAAAAAACGGCACCATGGTTAATGCAAATAAACCCCTGTCTCATCTTCTGTTTAGATTAGGTTAATAGAAACTGAGTTACTGCAGCTGACTCAGCTGGAGTTAAAGAGGAAGTCCCTGGACACAGAGGCGCTGCAGGTATGTAGGGCTCCCCCTGCGCCCCTCCCACCCCCTCCTGGCCCCAGGGCAGCAGCTCCTCAGCCCAGGCCCTGGGCTGCCCCAGTGACCAAGGCAGGGCTCTCAGGAGGCGGGGCGCTAGGCAGGAGGTCAGAGGAAGGAGGTCCCCCAGACCACATCTCCGCATTTCCTTGGTTGGGGTCTGGCCGCTGCGGTGCTCCTTTTTTTAAGCCATGCTCTTCCGCTGTCTGGGCTGCATTCTCTGTGGAGGGACTTCTCAGGATGGCCGAGCCCAGGCCTGGCCCCCAGTGTCCTGCTCTCAGGAGCCAGCGGGGACTGGCAGGCTATGGTCTAGACTCTTCCTAGAGTGTACCCGCAGGACTCGGGCAGGTGGAGAGGAAAGTTGGCCCTTTCCCTTCTCGGGCTCCCATCGCCCCCATGCACTCATGGATCTGGATGGGACAGGTGTGTGGGGCACGTGCTTGTGCCAGCTTTTGCGCAGTCTGCCTGTCCCGGTCCCTGTCCATGCTCAGCGGAGGGCCTCAGGCTGTTCCCCCCCCCCACCACCAGTGCACAGACAATGCCTGCTCCTAGAGGTCTGCCCAGGTGCTGCGTGACTCCAAGTATGGCCCTACCACTCCCCTTTCTGTCCCCCCTAAGATGGAGTCTTCCCATGGCATTGGGCCATTAGAGGAGGGTGACGTGGCAACAGAGCCTCAAAACAAGCTTCAGAGATGAGGAACCGCCCCGCCCAGCACAGCTGCAGGGCCCCCCTGTCAGGGCCTGCGTGGGGTCCCTAAGGACAGGAGGATGAGGGGATGTGGCCACAGTGTGCATGTGTTGTCCCCCTTCCCAACTCCCCGCCCCCCCCGGCCCCATGTGGGCTCCCCTATCTCTGCCACCCTCCATTTGCTTCCACCATGTGCTCTGTGGTCAGCGAGACCATGGTTGTCATTTCTTTGTTTGCTGTTTCGCCCCACTCCATCGTCATCATCACTGGGGTCCCATGCCTGGCCCAGGAAGGGTGCCTCAGCTTTGAGGATGGGAGGTATGGTGGATGTCAGGGCAAAGGGGGCTGAGCTTTAGCCCCCAACTTGGCCTAGGGGCGTGGGTCAGAGCCCTGAATTGAGCTGCCAACAGAACCAAGCCAGCGGGGATCCCAGGCAGCACCCGTCGCCATCCTGCGTGCCAGGGGCAAAGACTGCTCACTGCGGCCCTGGGCGTGGTCTTGTGTTGCAGGAGATGGTGTCCCAGCAGCGCTGGGCTCTCAGCTCCCTGCTCCAGCAGCTGCTCAAAGAAAAGAAGCAGCGGGAGGAAGAGCTGCGGGACATCCTGGTACGTGCTCAGCCTCTGTGGTCAGTCGGGGCGGAGGGCTAGCATCTCTTGGCCAGATTTTCTTTCTTTTTTTGTGTGTGGGGGTCCGGTCGTGGGGCCTGAACTCTGGGCCTGGGCGCTGTCCCTCAGCTCTTCAGCTCAAGGCTAGCGCTCTACCACTTGAGCCACAGCGCTACTTCTGGCTTTTTTCTTTTTGCTTATGTGGTGCTGAGGAACTGAACCCAGGGCCTCATGCATGCAAGGCAAGTGCTCTACCACTGAGCCACCTTCCCAGCCCCTATTTTATTTTATTATTTATATTGTATTTGATTCTGGGGCTCGAACTCAGGACCTCATACTCTTGCTTGGATTCTTCACTCAAGGTGGTGTTCTACCGCTTGAGTCACACTTTTCTGCCCAGGCTGGCTTCATACCTTGGTTCTCAGATCTCACCCTCCTGAAGTAGCTAGGATTATAGGCACAAGCCATACTGCACTTTTTTTTGAGGAAACACTATTGTTAATCAGGCAGTGGGTATTGGAAAGTACAAAGGAAAAGAATTTCACTTCTGAAAACTATCTACTGCTAACATTTCATTATGTAAAGATCATAGTGCATCTTTCTATGTATATATGCCTTTCCACATAAACTGGTGCATACCCTCGTTTGGTAAGTGGCATATATCTGTAGTCCCGGCTACATAGGAGGCTGAAGCAGGAGGATCCCTTAGGCCCAGGAGGTCATCGCTATCCTGGACAACTTAGTAAGACCCATACCTCAAAAAAAGGGAGACGGGCTGGGAAGGTGGCTCAGTGGTAGAGTGCTTGCCTTGCATGCATGAGGCCCTGGGTTCGATTCCTCAGCACCACATAGGCAGAAAAAAAAAAAAGGGAGACATGGGAGGGAGAAAAATTTGTGTTTAGTAAGCAAACCTGCTCTGATCTCATCGAATGTGCTTTTCTGGTGGTTTCTGGGGCCACACTGGGATGGGCTGGCACCTGGTAGAGCATATGAGTTATTTTTAGCCTCTGTGAGGGGTGAGCTGAGTGTCTCTGAGGATTGGGCTTTGAAAACATCCGTGAGTGTTCCCTCAGAAGTGGGCTCAGGTGGCCACAGCAGGCCACGAGCTTCTGGCAGGAGTGGCCCAACCTAGCCCTGTGCTGATGGCTTTGACTATAGCATGCATCAGGATGTCTGAGCCCCAGTCCTGCGCATGAGGATAGAAGCCAGGCTCACCAGCCAGAGCTGAAAAGATGTGATCTCCTGCGTCACTGTAAATGTCTCCATGTCCCTAGGCCTTTGCAGGTTGAGAGGAGAGTGCAGAGCCAAGGGGCACGTTCATGCCGTGCAGTGAGAGGCGGCCTGCTCCTCACCAGGCCTCTTTGCACATTGCACTGTGAGAACGGCAGCCCCAGCAGGGGGCCGCTGCCACCCGCCCTGCCATCAGAAGCCCCTGTTGCACAGCTAGGGGAGGAGCTCCAGCTCTGTAGACCATTTGGGGCAAGGGCACAGAGCAGGGGGTGTCACCAAGCATGGCCTGTAACATAGTGCAAAGGAGGCTGAGACAGGAGGATCAAGAGTTCAGGTCAGCCTGAGCTACAGAGCCAAACTGGGTCTCCAAAACTGAAAAGCCGGGCGCTGGTGGCTCACCCCTGTAATCCTAGCTACTCAGGAGGCTGAGATCTAAGGAGCATGGTTCAAAGCCACCTGGGGCAGGAAAGTCCATGAGACTCTTATCTCCAATTAACCACCAGAAAACCAGAAGTGGCGCTGTGGCTCAAGTGGCAGAGTGCTAGCCTTGAGCTGAAGAGCTCAGGGACAGCGCCTAGGCCCAGAGTTCAAACCCCACAACCGACAAAAAAAAAAAAAAACCACAAAAGTGAGGAGAAGGGTTGGAGGCGTGACTCAGGCAGCAATCACCAGCCAATGAGCAAAAGCAAGCATCGGCAAATTTAAGTCCCGTCTTAGACAAGAGAGGAGAGGGCTGGGAAGGTGGCTCAGCACTTGCCTTGCATGCTCGAGGCCCTGGGTTTGATTCCTCAACACCACATAAGAAAAAAGCCGGAAGTGGCGCTGTGGCTCAAGTGGTAGAGCGCTAGCCTTGAGCTGAAGAGCTGAGGGACAGCACCCAGGCCCAGAGTTCAGGCCCCACGACCGGACCCAAAAAAATAAATAAATAAAAATGTTAAAAAAAAATTTTAAATAAATAAAATAAAAAAGGAGAGGAGAAAAGCAGGCACAACTCTAGGCCAAGGGCAGAGGAGGGCGTCTAGCTCCACAGAATCCCAGGAGGGGCTGCCCGAGGAAGCCAGGCCTGAGGGGGCTGCGCGGGACCCGCTCCCCACAGCCTGCCTGGCCCACAGCCTGTAGCCACAGCTGCGCCCCTCACAGCTCCAGAGCAACAGGACACAGGCCTGGTGTGGATCAAGCCCTGACTCTAGGCAGGGAACTCATCCCTCTGAGCCTTAGTTTCCTCACCCAGGAGCTAGAACAGTCTTCACAGAGTTAGGCAGCCAAGTAAATGACTTCTTTCAGTGCCCAGCATGGTGCGGCACAGGGCTCTGTGTAGATGAATAGTGTCCCTGCTCCCTGCCTTATCCCTGTACCGAGAGTAAGTGCAGGCCGGACAGAACTCCAGGACCAATGCTCAAGTGGAGTCCTGTGCCTGGAGCCCTGCGGCAGTCCCACCTGTGCGGGGCAAAGAGAGCTGTCCCCCAAGAGGGGGTCCTTCGCAGGGGCTGGCAGCGTGTGGGACCACGTGGTGTGAAAGTCCTTTATAAGATACCAAGGGCCATCGCCTGTGTGGGTCTCAGCCAGCTCCTGGTGACTCTGGTCTTTATTTGCTGAGATGCGGTTCCAGTGACCCTGTTTGTCCTTGGCAGATGGAGTTAGAAGCCAAGAGCGAAACCAAGCAGGAGAATTACTGGCTCATCCAGTACCAGCGGCTTTTGAACCAGAAGCCCCTGTCCTTGAAGCTGCAGGTGAGGAAGCGGAGGCCCTGCACATGGCTTATTCTGGGAGCGCCTTGGGTTCTCCGCAGACTATTGACTGCCACCTGCCCGCCCCACAGACTCAATCCATCTTCCCATGGATGGAAGCAGGCCAGATCCTTGAAGGGGCAAGAAGGGTGGTAGGAGCATTGGCTCTGGTGAGGGGAAAACGGGGGCCAGTCATTTCTGTGACCAGCAGAGACCAGAGAGCCCAGGGTGAGCTGTGTGTGCAGACAGAACTGCTGCCCATGAAGCAGGGCAGATGTGGATCACTACCTTACACACATACACATGCATACATGTGCACACACATGCATGTGCACACATGCATACACACATATATTTCTAAAAACTTCAATAAAAGTCAAGTCATAGCTGGGCGCCAGTGGCTTACACTTGTAATCCTAGCTACTCAGGAGGCTGAGATCTGAGGATCACAGTTCAAAGCCAGCTGGGCAAGAAAGTCTGTGAGACTCTTATCTCCAGTTAACCATCTGAAAACCAGAAGTGGAGCTATGGCTCAATGTGGTAGAGTGCTCGTCTTGAGCAGAGGAGCTCAGGGACAGTGCTCAGGCTCTGAGTTCAAGCCCTACCACTGGCAAAAAGAAAAAAAAAAGTCAAGTCATTTTCTATTATCCTCTGGAAAGTTACTTTTCTCTGGAATACGGTGCTAAACTCAGCACCGAGCACTTGCTGAGCAGGTGCTCTACCACTTGCACCACTCTTCCATCCCCCCATTTTATTTTGGGGAAAAATCCCAAGGATGCATTCCATGCGTGATGCTCAGTACTGTGCTCACCCTCGTGTTTGCTTTTCCCTCTGGGCTGCTGCCCCTTGGCCTTCTTCGCGGCCTGTCCTGCAGGAAGGAAGCTTGGAGCGCCCGCTGGCGGCCCTCCTGGTGGAGCTGTCTGCCGAGCACTACCTGCCCATCTTCGCCCACCACCGCATATCTCTGGACATGCTGTGCCACATGAGCCCCGGGGACCTGGCCAAGGTAGGAAGCAGCAGCCCAGGGAGGCCGGGGAGGCTGGACTTGCTCTTTATGTGGTTCACAGCAGAGCCCATCCTGATGAAATGTCCCGAACACCTGCCCCCTCGCCCCCAGCCAATCATGTGCTCAGCCTGCCACCTAGCTATGAAAATCAGAAATGCAGCCAAGACTGGAGGCCACACCTATAGTCCTAGTACACGGGAGGCTGAAGAAAACAGATCCCAAGGTCAAGACCAGCCTGGGTTACATAGCCAGACCTTTCTTTAAAAAGAAAGAAGAGAGGGCTGGAAAGGTGGCTCAGTGGTAGAGCGCTTGCCTTGCATGCCTGAGGCCCTGGGTTCGATTCCTCAGCACCACATAAGCAAAAAGAAAAAAGCCGGAAGTGGCGCTGTGGCTCAAGTGGTAGAGCGCTAGCCTTGAGCTGAAGAGCTGAGGGACAGCGCCCAGGCCGAGTTCAGGCCCCACGACCGGACCCCCCAAAAAAAAAAGAAGAGAAGAAAGGAGGGAGGGAGGAAAGGAAGGAGGAAAAGAAAGAAAAAAGAGTCAGGTGCTGGTGGCTCACACCTGTAATCTTGGCTACTAAGGAGGCTGAGATCTGAAGATTGCTGTTTAAAGCCAGCCTGAGCAGGAAAGTCCATGAGACTCATCTTTAATAAAACTACTTTTTAAAAAAAGCCAAAATTAGAGCTGTGGCTCAAGTAGTAGAATGCTAGCCTTGAAGCTCAGGAACAGTGCCCAGCCTCAAGTTCAAGCCCCAGGACAGGCACAGAAAAGAAGAGAGAAGAAAAAAATCAGAGCCTGGCACCAGTAGTTCACTTCTGTAATCCTAGCTACTTGGGAGGCTGAGAGTAGAAGGATTGAGATTTGAGGCCAGCTTGGGCAGAAAAGTTAGGCAAATAACTACCAGAAAAACAGGGCTAGCAGTACATAGCAGTATATAGCAGTCTAACCAGCACAAAGCCCTAAGTCCAAAACCAGCCCCTCCAAAAAGAGAACCAGAAATGTGGGTCCCAGACACCCACCTTGTTCAGATCGGCCTTTAGCTGTAGGGCTTGGGGATGGTCTGGGTCAGCCCCCGCCTGCCCCACCAGGTCACAGGCATAACCTGGGCAGTGCCTGAGCCCTGGATAGGGGCTGCGGGCCTTTCATCAGATAACCCACTCACTCTTCAGAGTAGGGCAAGGCTGGGCCACAATGCCTCTGCGCTGTGTGGCTCCGGTGCTGCTGCTTCTGGGCAGCATGGCCTCAGCGGCCTCTCCTCAGCCTCTTCTGGCCTCAAGGATGGCGACTGGAGGTCCTAGGGGTGAGTGATGCACGGGTGTCAGTCCGTGCAGCCACCAGCATGGTCCCACCTGCTGCAGCGCCAGCTGCCCCGGCGCTGAGCCGGGCACCTGCACAGCTGGGGTGCCGCTCTGTCACCTGCTGACCCCAGGACCCTGGCGCCAGAGGCTGGGGACGGGCGGTCCCATGGGCCTAGGCGGCAGAGTGGCCCCGCCCAGCCCGGGCTGCCACAGTTGCCCTGCCTTTCTCTGCCACAGATGGGTGTCTCAGAAGCTGGCCTGCAGCATGAGATCCTGCAGAGGGCCCGGGACCTGTTGGACATAGCCAGGATCCAGCCAGGTACTGGCTGGCAGAGGGGCAGGGCGGGCTCACTAGGGCTGTGCTGGGAAAGGGGGAGAGGGAGAGGAAGGGGCAGCCTTGGGGGCAGCCTGGCAGAGAAGCCAAGGGCTCCACTAGCCCAAGGCTGTGTGGCCCTGACGAGTGATGCTCCCACTCTGAGCCTCAGATTTCTCACCCATGACAGTGACCGCCAGTCATGCTGCAGGGTGGCTGTGAAGGGTCCTGGGCACCTTAGGAACTAGAGGCCCCTGTTACCAGCACTCTGCCATGTGTGCCAGCACAGGAGATGACAGGGCTGCAGGAGGCCTCGCTCCCACTTCACAGCTGGCCTTACGTGTTGAGGTCCCTTAAGTGTTGTGACCCCCAGCTTGGCCTGTCCCTTTGACTCCACAGAGCTGAAGCCAACCAAGGCCCTGGAGCCCCTCCCTGCCCCCCAGGAGCCTCCTGAGTCAGTGAGGCCTTCAGCGCCCCCTGCCGAGCTGGAGGGACAGGCCTCCGAGTGCGTCGTGTGCCTGGAACGGGAGGTGAGTGGCACTGGGACCCTGCAGGGCACACGGGCCTTGGCCAGCCAGCCCTTCCTCCTCAGCCTCGCTGGACACATGCCAGCCCTTCCTCCTCAGCCTCGCTGGACACATGGATTTGTTTGTAAGCAGTTCCCTAGTGACGTGAGCACGTGATGTCATTAGACCATTTAGAAAACATAGCAAAGCAAAAAGTGCAGGAAGCATCGGCTCCGTGGCCCAAATGGAGCAATGCTAACGCTGTTTGCTCTTTTTTTTTTCTTTTCCTCATAAGAGGAAAATTTTTCTCCAACTTACTAACTACATTAGGGGAAACCTATCATGGAAGAGCAACAGCCTGGCTTTTCCTGCCAAGGTTTTTCAAAAGCTGTCGAATTAGCACTATTATTATTATTGTTGTTGTTGTTGCAGAGATCAAACACGGCAGTGTGTAGAGTACAGGTCCTTCCTTGCCTCCCCAACGGAATCCTACACAGAAAACAGCTGTGCTGGCAGCGCCCTGGCCGAGAGCCAGCAGCCCCTTCCCATGGGCTGTGGAGACGGCTCCCAGTTTCTCGATATTACAGATAGCTTTGAAGAGTTTGGAGCACATCCTTGAGGATTTTCTCAGGATACACGCCTAAGTGTGCTTACAGGGCTCTCAATCCATAAAGTTGCAGTCCTTCTACACCAGGAGTTCAGGGGCTGTCCGCCAACAACAACAAAATTACAAAGAGAGACTGAGATACAGCTCACTGGCCGAGCACTTGACTGGTCCCATCCCCAGCACTGGAAAAGAAAAGAAAATGGTTGGGGATGGCCACAGAGCTATAGGCACAAAACTGAACAGACTGGCTAGGTTTTCACGTCTGTGGCACACATTCATGCATGTCTGCTATGTGTGAGTAGCTCATGGGGGCCACACCACAAGGTTATTTTCTTACTTTGGTGGTGCTGGGGTTTGAACTTGCAATTTCTTGGCAGCCACCCTTGCTATGTGAGTCACAGCCCAGCCCCCACGCCACCAGCGTTTTAAGCTAAAGACTCAGCTTGCTGCCTACTCTCTCCTCAGGCCCAGATGATCTTCCTCACCTGTGGCCATGTCTGCTGCTGCCAGCAGTGCTGCCAGCCGCTGCGCACCTGCCCGCTGTGCCGCCAGGAGATCACCCAGTGCCTGCGGATCTACCATAGCTGAGCACACAGCCAGGCACAGCAGGAGCTCGGCGCAGCCTCCACCAAAGCAGGCCCAGGCTGCCGTCCGCACATCCCTACCCCACCCAGAATAGGACCAGGCCGGCCTGGGCCTCTCCCCGCTGCTGCTCATGGGATGTAGCTGCTAGCCGGAACGCTGAGAGGAAGGCGGGGCAGCTCAGCTGGTGATTGGGCCCCTGGCGGCCCAGGGAGAGGCCAGGGTGTGGAGAGGCGGCTGTGCCATCAGCGAGGTTCCCAGAGGAACATCATAGCCAAGCCGCGGTTCCATCCCCATCCCCACCCCCACCCTGCCTCTCAGAGCACTCTATTCCGTCCTCATCTGTGCAGCCCACCCAGCTGTCCCTGGCCTGAGCAGGGGAGGTCATCCAGCTAGGACAGGGAGCCACACAGGCCTGCACCCTAGTTCCCCTCTGCTGCTCCCTGAGCATGTCCTACCTGCTCTCCACCCTACCTCACTCAGACAGCTCAGCCTGAAGCAGCAAACATCAATAAAGCCATTAGCTGCTGTTACCCTTGGGTCCACAGGGAGCTGGTTGTGGGTATGGGATAAGTCAGAGCTGCAGCACCTTGATCAGAGGAGAGGAGGTACGGCTGTCGAGAGCCAGGGCCTGAGTGACCCCTTTATCTCTGAACTGCTGGTGCTCCAGGGCCTGGAGCTGGGGCTGGGGCTGGGGCTGGGGCTGGGAGGGGTGAGTGCCTGGGACCCTGGCTGCAACTGCAGTGAGTGCAGCCTGGAAGCATCCGGTCTCAGCCTGCTCTGTTGTGCCTTGGGGATCATCGCAAAACTTTAGGCACCTGAAGCCCAGGTACACTCATCATGTGGTTTCTGACAGGTGGTTTGGAGGCAAGGGGCACGCCAGCTGGGCCTGCTGCACTCAGTGCTGGCCTTCAGGCTGGTTTCTCCATCCATCCCTCCATCCAGTACAGGATCTGTGCTTCAGCTGCCAGCCACCAGGGGGTGCTGAGTGCTCAGGAACAGTGCCAAGAAGGTGCCCCAGGGTGGCCAGGAGGGCCCCGCCCTTCTAGGCATCAGTTTCTCTAATTGGGACCACCTACCTTGCAGTGCCCTCTGAAGTGTTCAGGCCTGCTTTCTAGGGAGAAGCTTGTCTCCTCTTCCCTTGTCTCCACTCTTTCCCACCTCAGGTTAGCTTGGACAGGAGGGGAGACAGGCCTGGAGTAGGTCTCACGACTTTATGGAGCACTGTTTAGGGGGAGGGGGAGGGGGGAGGGGGGGCGGCGGTCTCATGAGAGCTCAGGCAGCAAGGTCTTTTGCCACCCTCTATTCTAGTCAAGGAGCTTGAGCTCAGAGTTTGAAACTTGCCAAAGACAACAGCGTGGTCCTGGCTGAACCCCTGGCCTTGGCCACCATGGACAGACTGACCAGGAAAGCCAAGAGCCTGCAGGTGCCTGGCCGTGCCAGCATCTCCAAGGGACGTCTGCACTCCACTAGCGTCAGAGGATGGGGGTCTCCGTGCCAACCCCAGCCAGTGTTCTGTCCCCCTTTGTCCTCCATGTAAAGGGCACGGCCTACAGTGAGAGCTCAACCAGTACCAGCTGGCAAGGCTGGCTACACCCCAGGGCCCTGAGCAGCCACCAGGGAGCGTGGCCCTATAACCCGGGAGCTCTGAGCCTGGACAAGTCTCGTCTGTTTCCTCCTCTGTAAAATGGCACAGGAACTCCACCATGAATCTCATGGTGCCTGGTCGAGCCAGAACACCAAGTTTGGAGGCTCAGTCCCTGGCCCAGCCCCTCCCCCTAGCACCACACAGAGAGCAAGCTTTAAATAAAGCATTTATTGATTAGCAGAAGCGTAAACAGTTTGCATAGTATTCTCAATACCACATCTGGGAAGGATGATCAAAACCCCAAGGCACTAGAGAGCACAGAAAAGATCAGAGACTGGATCAGATGGGGGCTGGGGACTGGGTGTCCCTGAGCCCCAGCCTCGTCCTGGGGTGTAAGGCGCCCTGTTCAGGGGGAGCTTGGACTTCACTGGGAACAATTTCCATTCTGCCCTCCTTCCTATCCCCAGCAGCAGAGAAGAGGCTGAGGAAGTAGGGGGAGGGAGTTGTGGGGGGGCCTGTCAAGTTGGGGTAACCTTGACTTAACCCTGTGCCCAGGAATTGGAAGCTAGGGAAGGGCCAACAACAGCCAAGCCCAAAGTGACTCACAGAGACAGGCTCAGAACTGTCCGGTGACACTCAGGGGCCACACACACCTCGTGTCCTGGGGAGCCTCCCCCCCCCCCTCGGCCTCTCCGGAGCCCCTCCAGCTTCCTGTGGGCAGTGAGTAGTACCTTGGAGGATGCCAAAGCCACCAAGCCCTCCACTGGCAGAGGGAACCCCAAGACTGGAGAGTCCCCCACAGACTACCCTCCATTGCAAGTGACCTTCACTCTGTCACCTCCTCTCACTCAGCCCCGCCGGTCCCCAGAGACCAGCTCCTCCCTTCCCCTCACACTGCCCCTCTACACCTTCCAGCACATTCCAGCCTTCCTCATTTCATCCCCAGGCCCCTGGCCCTCCTCCTAGGAGACCCCGCCCCAATACCTCCCTCGCACTCCTGAGGCCAAGCCCCTCCCCCTCCTTGGCTTCTCTCAGCCCTGGGTGAACCCTCCTGGCTTGGGGGGGACAAATAGGGCAGAGGGCAGGACAGAGGGGCCTGGGTGCTCATCTCCCTCCCCCCTTCCTCCCCATGTTGAGGGGCAGGCGCGAGAGGATTTCACCTAAGCACTGAAGCTCTGGCTCCCCCAGAAGACAGCAAGGGCCATCATGAAGGGAATGGAGGTGGCAGCCAGGGCAGGATGGAGGGGCTCCCCAGCTGTGCCCAGCCCCCCACAAAGTGAAACCTTGAAACCAGCCCCCGCCTTCGAGGTGAGCCCGCAGAAGAGCAAAGAGGGGCACCCCACCCTGCCCACCTCCACCCCCGCTGCCACGCTGGCCCGCCATGCCTTGGGGGTGCAGCCCCTCGCGGTGTCCACGGGAACAGGGCGACCAGACTAGAACTCCGTCTGCACCCCAGCGCTGTCCTCAGTGGTGGTGTGGATGGGGGGGCGGCTGCCAGGGCTGGTCACCTGCTCCCCGGTCTCCTGGTCACTGGGCTTGGGGGGCTCGAGGTCCATAGCCTTTCCGGGTGAGGGATGCCGGAGGGGTGAGGCGGGCGGCGAGGCGGCCTGGGGGGCGGCCCTGGGCTGGGGGCTCTCCTGGGCAGGAGCCCCGTTGAGCAGGGGGCCGGCTGGCGGGGGGCTCTCAGCCTGCAGATCCTGAGCCAAGAGGCCGCGGAGCTCGGTGACACTGTCCGGGGACGCAGGGGACGGCGGCTCAGAGCCAGCCTGCAAGGGCAGCCCGGCTTCCTCGTCCTGGACCACAGACATCACCTGCTTGGCCCGACGGCGCTTCTCAGAGGGGGTGACTGCATCGGGGGCCCCAAGGCTGGGGCTGCCGCTGCTTCCCCCGCTGTCTTCACCGCTGTCGCCGCCGTACTGCTCACCCCAGTCGATGGGGGCGCCCTCGGCCAGCAGGTGCAGGTTGGGGTCGCTGTTGTGCATGACCATGCTGTCCCGGTACAGGTTGTGCTTGCGCTGGACGGCGGCCTCCTTCACAGCTGCAGACACAGCCGGGCGGGAGGCTCAGCCCGGCGCCCCGGGCCCAGCGCCACGCCCACAGGGACCCTGCCTCTTCTCCACAGATGTGTCATCCTCACGGCTGGAGGTGGCTGTGGTGGCTCCAGCCCAGGTGCCCCCTCTGACCGCCCCCAGCCGTGCCCCGAGAACCCAGGCGGCCTTGAGCCTCCTCAGCCCGGCCCAGGCCCGCTCACCCTGCAGGATGTCCTTCATGACCGTCTGCAGCACCACCTCCTCGTACGTGTTCTCCACCAGGAGGAACCGGGCGAAGTCCTCGAAGATCAGCTCCTGGAAGCGGGGCAGCTCCTGGGGACGGGGTGGGGGGAGGCGGCCGGTCAGAGGGGCAGAGGGGCCCTGCCCGTGGGCTGAGGGGCGCAGGCGCTCACCGACTTGCAGGTGGGGGCCAGCTTCTTGAGCAGGAAGGGGATGGCGATCTGCAGCAGCGCCTCCCGGAAGAACTTCTTACGCACAGAGCTGCTGTCGTAGTCATATTTCTGCAGGGAAGTTGGGGAGCACCGTTAGGGGGCCGGAGGTCCGTGGTCCCTTCCCCCACCCCAGCCTGGAGGGAAGGTGGAGGCCGGAGCCTCCCCCTGCACACAGCATAACGGCAGCACCCGGGCCCGGCCCACAGGGGGCGCCCTCACCTTCAGCACTCGCTCCAGGATCCGCTGGATGGATTTGCACAGCTCCTCCTTGGTGGGCCCCTTCCCCAGCTCCTGGTGCAGAAGCGTCTCGAAGGTGTACACTGCGTTGTCCATTTGCTGCAGGGCACAGCATGGGGCACGTAAGGCCCCGCCTTGCTGGTGGCTGAGAGGCTCGGCCAGCCCCCCACCCCAGGCCTGCTAGGAGGGGGTGCTAGTTCACATGTTCACTGAGTGCATGCTGCACACCTGGCAGGGTGCTGGGCACCAGGGCCAATGCCCACCTTGAGAGAACAGGAAGGGGTCACTAGGCCGACCGGACACGGCAGAGCAGCGTCAGCCAGGTGAGGCGGGAGGAGGTGTAAGGGTGCTGGCTGCGCACAGGAGAGGCCCGGGACAGGCCCGTGGAAGGTGGTAGCAGGTGCGGGGCCAGCTGGGACAGAGCCTGGGGCTCACCTCGCGCATGTGGATCTGGGCTCGCTGCTTGAACGCAGACGTGCTGGACACATCGAAGCGCTGCTGCAGCCCGTCAAGCCGCAGTGGCTCCATCTTCTCGTAGCAGCTCTGCATCTTCAGGGGGTGGAAGGCCAGCTGGGACAGCTTCTCCATGTACTGCAGGGGCAGGAGCGAGGTCAGGGGGGCTGAGCTGGGGCTCCCTGAGCAGCCTACACCTGGGTAGGGCCCTGCATCGGCCACCAGGGCTGGCCTCCTAAGGATGGGGCTATGGCCAGGCCTGGGGGCGCCCAGGACAAGAGGAAGGGGCATGTGAAGGCAGAGGGAGTATGGTCTGGCAGCATAGTGCTGTCGAGGCCAACCTGGGCTCTGAGACACACTTCTCTTCCATTCTGGGGGGCTAGGACTTCTGGGGTACCCTCTCCCTCTGAGTATCAGTGTCTTCAGCCTCCAATTAGGAAGATCACTTTTCAAGTCCTTTCTGACTCTCAAAGTCTGATTATTAGCCAGGTGTCTGGCTCACACCTGTAATCGACCTACTCAAAGGCTGAGGTCTGAGGATCACAGTTCTAAGCCAACAGGGACAGGAAAGTCTGTGAGATTCTTAGCTCCAATTAACTACCAGAAAACTGGAAGTGGTGCTGTGGCTCAAAGTGGTAGAGCATTAGCCTTGAGTAAAATAATTCAGGGACAGCGCCCAGGCCTTGAGTTCAAGCCCCACGACCACCACCAACAACAAAAAGTATTATTGTCTGTGAATTCACAATTTGCAGTGTAGAGGAGGCGGCAAAGATACAAAACAGATGATATCTGCACTGACTGTCTGTGTGGGATCCATGCAGCTAGCTACCCCAGCAGGACATTCACCCTGAGAACCAGGTTACTGAGGCCAAGAAAAGGAAGGACTTCCTGTTTGTAGGGTAGAGGAATGGCTGACTCTCCTCATTCATTACACTGCTCAGACCTAAAGCTTACCTTTCTTCCTCCTTATTTGTGTATTTTCATTTGTTTCTGGTAGTGTCAGGGTTTGAAGTAAAGGCCTTGCACTTGCTAGGCAGGTGAGCTACCACTTAAGCCATGCCACAGCCATCTTTTTTCCTTTCATTGTTAAAAAAATTTTTTGTGGTTAGAAGTGGGGCTGGAACTCAGGGCCTGGGCACTGTCCCTGAGCTTTTTCCACTCAAGCCTAGTGCTCTATCACTTTGAGTCTCCGCTCCACTTCCAGTTTTCTGGTAGTTAATTGGAAATAAGAATCTCACACTTCCTCGTCTGGACTGGCTTTGAAACAGATCCTCAGCACTCAGCCTTTGAGTAGGTAGGATTATAGGTGTGAACCATCAGCGCTAGGCTTTTTCCTTTTATTTTTTATGCAAGTACTGGGGCTTCAATGCAGGGCCTCCTCTGTTTGTATGGCTTTTCTGTTCAAGGATGGCATTCTACCACTAAGTCACAGCCTCCAGCTGTGTTTTTTTTGTTTTTGCTTTTGTCTGTCACAGAGCTTGAACTCTGGGCCTGAACGCTGTCTCTCAGCTCTTCAGCTAAAGGGTAGCGCTCTACCACTTGAGCCACAGCGCACTTCCAGTTTTCTAATTGGCTTATTGGAGATAAGATCCTCTTGGACTTTTGTGCCCATGGTGGCTTTGAACCGTGATCCTCAGATCTCAGACTCCTGAGTAGGATTACAGGTGTGAGCCACCAGCCCCTGGCTCCTGCTTTTTTATTATTAATATACTTTATTGTTATTATAATGGTGATGTACAGAGGGATTACAGTTATATGAGTCAGGTAATGAGTACATTTCCTTTTATACAATGTCTCCAGCTCCCTCACTCTCTCCTGGTCCCTCCCTCCCATCTCCACCCACGGGTTGTATACTTCACTTTTATCAGTATCCAGTGAGCTCCACTGCTGCACTTTTTCAAACTTTTTCCCTTGAGTTCTGTACCCTCCTCCCAAGCTTTCCCAAGAAACACACTTGAAGCAGGGTACCGGTGGCTCATGCCTATAATCCTGGCTACTCAGGAGGCTGGGATCTGAGGATCACTGTTCAAAGCCAGCCCAGGCAGGAAAGTCCAGGAGACTCTTTTTTTTTTTTTGGGGGGGGGGGGCGGGGGTCCAGTCGTGGGGCCTGAACTCTAGGCCTGGGCGCTGTCCCTCAGCTCTTCAGCTCAAGGCTAGCTCTCTACCACTTCAGCTACAGCACCACTTCTGGCTTTTTTTCTTTTTGCTTATGTGGTGCTGAGGACTCGAACCCAGGGCCTCAGGCATGCAAGGCAAGCGCTCCACCACTGAGCCACCTTCCCAGCTCTATCCATGAGACTCTTATCTCCAATTAACCACCAGAAAAACTGGAAGTGGAGCTGAGGCTCAAAGTGGCAGAGCATTCACCTTGAGCTGAAGAGCTCAGGGACAGTGCCCAGACCCAGAGTTCAAGCCCCACAACTGACAAGAAAGAAAGAAAGAAAAAGAAAGAAAGAAAGAGAGAGAGAGAGAGAGAAAGAAAGAAAGAAAGAAAAAAAGAAAGAGAAAGAAAGAGAGAGAGAGAAAGAAAGACACTTGAATATACCATACATAAGGAAAAGACAGAATCATTAAAAAAAAAACTAAAAAGAAAAAAACCCTAAAAATTAAGAAAAAATTTTAAAAAGAACAGAGGTCTCTTGTTTCTATATCTTGGCGTTCATTTTGATATGTACATTTTTATAGAAACATGAAGAGGCTCTCAGGCATTGCACCTTCGTGTTTCTCTCCTAAAAGTGTCCTCTTTTGGCCTCACTGGGTATAAATATCCAGTGTATTTTAGATCTAATTTCTGCACATGAGAGGGAACATGCATTCTTTGTCTCTCTGAGCTTGGCTTACCTCACTTAACATGATTTGTTCTAGTTCTATCCATGTCTCTGCCAACGACAGCATTTTATTCTTTCTAATGGCTGTATAAAATTCCATTGTGTATAGGTACCACATGTTTCGGGTCCACTAATCTATTGTTTTTGATTTATTTTTGAATAAAGCAAATTTTCTCCAGACCTTAAGACCATGATCCTCCCATCTATGCCTCCCAGTAGCTAGAATGACGGGTACACACCACAGTGCCCTGGATTCGTCTGTTGAGATAGGGTCTCACTAACTTTTTGCCAGGGCTGGCCTTGAACCTTGATTCTCTGGCCTTGAACCTTGATTCTCTTAAACGCCAGCTTCCATGTAGCTGGGATTAAAGGCACAAGCCACTGTACCTGGCTGAATTCTTTATATTTTAGCAATCCTCTTGCTTTAGTTATAAGGGCTGACGGCAGAAGGTCATGGCACTCTCTCTAACTGCTAGTCCCAACTAGGGCTGGTGAGGGCTTTGTGTTGGGTCTGTGCCCCTGGTGCCTGTGTGTAGGCACCGCCAGAGCAGGGCAGGCCCGCCCATGCCAAGTCGCACAGCCAATGCCCTGGGCGCGTGTGGGAGACTGACGCCCACCCAGGCCTTACCTCGCCCAGTTTGTCGATGCCGCCCTCGTTGATGACATTCAGGTTCATGTCCGTGACCTCCTTGAAGAAGACGTCGCGAACCTCGGCGAAGCCCTGGCTGGTGGGCGCCATCAGGGCCTCCAGGATGGACGGGATGTAGGGCTGAACGTGGTTCCGCACGCACACCTCGGCCTTCGGGAGGATAAAGGCTGTGCCCAGAGGGAGCCAGGTCAGCAGAGGCATCTGCCAAGTGGGTGGCACTGGCAACAGACATTTCCCGCCAAGCCAGAGCTCCATGCAGTAAAACTAACAGGTCATCCTGACTGGGGAACTGACATTATTTGACACTGCGGGTCCAAAGGCGTCAGCCATGCGCGGCTTAGCTAAAAGCAGAGAAAATCTTCATCTTTGGGGCCCTAGTCATTCATTTAAATACCAAACAAAACAAGTACAGGCTTCAGTGGAACAGGAGGATCAAGATTCCAACCCAGCACCTGGCATGCAGGCAAGTCCTCTTCTCAACACAGCTGGAAGCTGGGTGTGGTGGTGTGAGCCTGTCATCCTAGCTGCCAGGGGAAGGCAAAAGGCTGTGGACTGCAGTTCAGAGACACTTCCAGACAGGAAGCCAGATGGTACTTCACATTACTGATACAAAGAGGCTGGAGGCTCAGACTGGAGCCCCTGCCTACCAAGCATAATGTCCTGAGTTCGAGTCCTAGTATGTATCCCCTGAAAACAGATAAAAGTATCTTTTTTGTTTTTGTTTTTTTTTGTCGGTCATGGGGCCTGAACTCTGGGCCTGGGTGCTGTCCCTCAGCTCTTCAGCTCAAGGTTAGTGCTCTACCACTTGAGCCATAGCACCACTTATGACTTTTTCTGCTTATGTGGTGCTGAGGAATTGAACCCATGGCTTCATGCATGGGAGGCAAGCGCTCTATCACTGAGCCTCCTTCCCAGCCCAGGCAAAAATACCTTAATAAGCTGGGTGTCAGTGGCTCACGCCTGTAATCCTAGCTACTCAAGAGGCTAAGATCTGAGGATCACTGTTCAAAGCCAGCCTGGGCAGGAAAGTCCGTGAGATTCTTATCTCCAATAAACCACTCAGAAAACCGGAAGTGCACTGTGGCTCAGGTGGTAGAGTGCTAGTCTTGAGCTGAAGAGCTGAGGGACAGCACCCAGGCCCAGAGTTCAAACCCCACGACAAAAAAAAATAAAAATAATAAAAATCTTAATAAATAAATTTAAGGAACTCTTTGCTTTAAAAAAAAAAATCCAGCCCCTAGCTAGGTGCTGGTGGCTCACACCTGTAGTCATAGCTACTTAGAAGGCTAAGATTTGAAGATCACGGTTTGAACGCAGCCAGGCAGGAAAGGCTGTGAGATTTTTTTTTTTTTTTGCAAGTCCTGGGGTTTGAACTCAGGGCCTGGGCACTGTCCCTGAGCTTCTTTTGCTCAAGGCTAGCACTCTACCATTTGAGCCACAGCACCACTTCTGGCTTTTTCTGTGTATGTGGTGCTGAGGAATGGAACCCAGGGCTCCATGCATGCTAGGTAAGCACTCTACCACTGAGCCACCTTCCCAGCCCCAGCCGTGAGGACTTTTATCTCCAATTAACCACCTGAAAGCTAGAAGTGGAGTTGTGGCTCCAAGTGGTAGAACTGGCCTTAAGCAAGAACCTCAGGGATAGCGCCCAGGCCCTGCGTTCAAGCCCCATGACTACCAAAAAAATTGGGCCCCTGCTCTGGAATGTTGTCCAAAGCATGCCTGGCTCTGTGTCACCATGTAAAAGGCTCTGCTGGCTCCCCAGAACATTCTGATCTAGGCATCTTTATGCCGGGGGGGCAGGGGGAAGAGGGGGCGCAGGGGCAGTGTTTGGTGTCCGCTTTAACCCTACTCATGTAATGTTTGTTCACAAAGTAAACATCAGTTGTAGGGACTCCATCCATCTCTCAAGGAATAGACCTAGTCAAGAACACCCACAGAGTGGGCGTCAGTGGCTCACGCCTGTAATCCTAGCTATTCAAGAGGCTGAGAGCTGAGGATCAAGGTTCAAAGGTAGTCCAGGCAGGAAAGTCTGTGAGACTCTTACCTCCAACTAACCATCAAAAGCCAGAAATAAAGCTGTGGTTCAATGGGCTGGGAAGGTAGCTCAGTGGTAGAGCACTTGCCTTGCATGCATGAGGCCCTGGGTTCGATTCCTCAGCACCACATAAGCAAAAACAAAAAAGCTGGAAATGGCCCTGTGGCTCAAGTGGTAGAGTGCTAGCCTTGAGCTGAAGAGCTGAGGGACGGCGCCCAGGCCCAGAGTTCAGGCCCCACGACCGGACCCCCCCCCCCCCAAAAAAAAAAAAAAGCTGTGGTTTAAGTGGTAGAATACCAGCCTTGAGTACAAAAAGCTTAGGGACAGCAGCACCCAAGCTCAAGAGTTCAAGCCCTAGGAACAGAAAAAAATAAAAGAAGAAGTTAGGTATCAGGAAATTAAACAAGTCTAGAGCTGGGAATGTGGCTTAGTGGTAGAGTGCTTGCCTAGAATGCATGAAGCCCTGGGTTTGATTGCTGTTACAACATAAACAGAAAAAGCCAGAAGTGGAGGCTCAGGGACAGAGCCTAGGTCCTGAGGTCAAGCCCAGGACCAGCAAAAAAACAAAACAAAATAAAACTGAAGTCTACTGGACAACACAGCGTCAGATCTAGGTTGGCCAAGGATGGGCAGAAAGTTTGAACCTCCCAGACAAAAGCGTCTACCTTCAAGATCTGAGTTTACAGGGAAAAAAGAAAGAAAGAAAAGCCAGCTACTAAGTAACTCCCAGGCCATAGTACAAACAGTTGGCCCAGCAAGGAGCTCGCCTGAGTCCACGAAGCCACTGGTCCAAGCAGGCTGGTGCCCGTGGCAGGCAAGGCCCGCAGACCCTACCTCGGATCTTGCTGGCCAGGTGCTCCTTGGAGGTGATGATCTGGTCCATGTCGGTGCGGATGACGGCCTCCATGGCTGGCCGGGCCAGCTGCAGCTTGGACAGCACACTCTCAAAGTGGTTCTTGGCCTGCTCGTACACCATGCGGTACACAGCATCCGAGATCTGCAGCCACCGTGGCCGGGGCGTTAACACCAGGGGGGAGGATACCAGGTAGACTGCCCTCCCGGCCCTGGGGTCCCCGGCGCACACACCTGGATCCACTGCCGCTGCCGCTCTTGCGCCTTTCCCTTCAGCCGTGGGCTCAGCTCTGCCTTCAGCTCGGGGCCCAGCTCCTCCATCACCAGGTTGCTCAGGATCTAGGACCGAGAGGCATAGCCAGGGCAGGGGCTGTGCAGGTTCACCGTCTATATTCCAACACGCCCAGCCACTCAAGCCCCTCCTCTGAGCCTGGCCCTCTGCTGCCTGATTCTGCTGCTTCTCAGGCTTCCAACGTCATCTCCCAGATGTCAGCAGAGCTGCTGGAGGGGGCCTGCAAGCTCCTCAGACCCAAGGGCCCGCCTCAGGACCTTTGCACACACCACCTTGGCTGCCTTAACTACGGTGACCCTCCTGCTTTGTCTTTACAAGCCAATGTGTGTCTGTTGAACGTGTTTCTCCTCCCTGGTGAGGAGGTTCTGATGGCCAGGGCTGCAGCGCCCTGTCCATACCTACACCCGCAGCCGGCACCTGCTGTGGGAAGATCTGAGCCTGTGGTTTCCTTCCCAACCCACAGTGGTCAGAGCCCATCCCGGTCCCCAGCCCACCCTCAGGGCCCTGCACACAGACCCTGGCCTCACCTGCACCTCGTTCCCACACAGCATCTCCCACGTGCCGTACAGCTCCTTTGACTGGCGGTACATGCGGATGGCGTCCGTGAACGCAGGGCCTTCCACTTTGGAGTCTTCAGGGATGCCTGCTCCAGGGCGGGAGAAAAGGAGAGGTGGGAATGGGGAGAGGGTGGGGAGGGAGAAGGAGATAGGGAGGAAGAGGGAACCAAGAATCAATGAATGGCCCAGTGGCCTCCAGCCAGATCAGACCCCCCCACACACACACTCACCACACACAAGGAATGCTGGGAGCACCCTACATCCTAGCAGTTGCAGTGACACAGGAGTAAGCAGCCTCCACCCCCCAGCCTCACGGTGACCCCGGGATCCACCAATATCCTCCAAGACCCCGAGTCCTGGCACTAACACTAACCTGCTCTACTGAGAAGCAGCAGACAGGCTCTGAGGTCAGGCCCCGGCCCAGCGTCATCCGGCAGCAAGCCGCAGAGCCAGACCAGGAGAAGCGGCTCCTCCCTCCCTGAGAGGCTGCCCAGGACAGCTCTCAGGACCCCCGCGACGATTCTTATACCTATGGCTGCTGCCCCTCCCCCTCCCCTGGGACAAATGTTGCCGACAGTGGCTGATGGCAAATACAGCAGCTGTGCAGACCAGCCTGCTCCTGTCGCGGCCACTCAAGCAAGCCAGTGCAGCTCTGTTTCAATGCTTTACCGACCAAAGCAGGCAAGCTCAGCAGGGGCTGAGCTTGGCCTATGGGCTGTGCTTTGCTGGGCCTTGTTCTAGATGATTAAACCCAGAGGGGCCTCAGTTTCCTCTTTTGCACAATAGGAACAATGATCCTGGCCTGGCCTGGCCTCACTGGACAGCAACATGGGGACAAGCTGTGAGCTGCCAGGGGTCTGAGGGGGTAGCTGTCAGGGACGCTGAATGACATTTTCAGGCCCAGATCTGTTTGGTCTGTGGTTCACACAGGCGCTGGGTACAGAGGCTACAAGGAATTGAGTGAGTGAGTAGGAGCCGGCGGGCTAGCTCAGTGGTCCATATCTGCCTAATAGACACAAAGCCCTGGGTTCTAGCCCAAGCCACAGAAAGAAGACCAAAAAAAAAAACCCAGGAGGTCTTTATAATTGGTAATTATAAAATGTGTTATTAAGGCAGGATAGATGAAGAGACAGAACATTTTTGTTATTTTTTAACAGATATAAAAGGGTGAGACTCAAAACTCAAACTCAAGAAGTAAACTAAGCCAGGCACCAGTGGTTCATACAAAAGTTCATGAGTCTCTTACCTTCAAAAAGCAGAAGTGGTGTTGTGGCTCAAGAGGTAGAGTACCAATCTTGAGTGGAAAGCCAAGAGAGAGCCTAAGACCCGAGTTCAAATAAAGAGGAGGAAGAGGAGCAGGAGGAAACACAGATCAGCATCCTTCCATGTCACCTTTTTAATATTAAGTTCCAAGATCAGGAGACCAAGGAGGAGCTAGCTAAACCGGCCTTCTACAAACTCTTCACAAACAGGTAGAGACAGAAAGAATGAAAGGTATGGGAGGCTGCAGCAGGTCTTGAAGGTGTCTTGGGTTTGGGCTGGGCTTCACTCACCCTACCTACCCAGAATCCTTGCCTAAGAATGAGGAGTCACTAAGGCTGAGCAGACCAGGCTGGTTCTCCCAGCTCCAAGTATAACACAACAGATAGGAACCACCATTTTGAGTCTTTAACTGCCATTTCCCTCATGGAGAACAGGAAATGTTTCTCTCTGATTTCCATTTCTCCCTACTAAAATAAGTCCTTGCTAAAACTGTCACCTGAGATTCTCTGTGCAACAGCCTGAACTGCTTTTCACAAGCAGATCTCTAGGACCCGAGATTTTGTGTGGAAACTGTAAAGTGGAAGGAAAAGTTGGTGATACTATTTTTGAAGTGTGGATCAAGAGGTAGAGTACCTGGCTAGCAAGCTCAAGTTCAGAGATCAAATTCCAATATTGTCAAAAAAAGAAAACCAGAGCTGGGTGCTGGTGGCTCATACCTGTAATCCTAACTACTCAGTAGGCTGAGATCTGAGGATTGTAGTTCAAAGCCAACTGGGCCAGGAAATTCCATGAGACTCTTTATCTCCAATTAACCACCAGAAAACTAGACAGCGCCTAGACCCATGATGAAAGAACGAAAAAGAGAGAGAAAAGAAGGAAGAAAGAGAGAGAGAGAAAGAAAGAAAGGAAGGAAAGAAAGAAAGAGAGAGAGAGAGAGAAGGAAGGAAGGGAGGAAGGAAGGAAGGAAGGGAGGAAGGAAGGAAGGAAGGAAGGAAGGAAGGAAGGAAGGAAGGAAGGAAGGAAGGAAGGAAGGAAAGAAAAAGCAAGCAAGCAAGCAAGCGAGAAGCTATTTCCATGTTGTTTTGATGGTGTTGTGGCCTATGATGGAGGGTGACAGGACCTGGACCCCAGGAGCAGGAAGTTGCATCATCTGACTGGGTGTTGGGTGTGGGGTGTGGGAAGAACATGGTTAGCACCGCCCAGCCTGGCCATGTGCCTCTCACCACGGCATCCCCAGAGCCCAGGAAGAGGAAAACACCAACCTCAGCATCAGAACCCCCAGCACCCACTGCAGTGACTACAGGCTGAGTCACCCTAGTAAGAAAAAACCCCTTTCTGGCTTGGGGTGGGGGGAGGGGACACCTTCCTCTCCCACAGCCAGCCAGCCATAAGGTTCATGGTTAAGTCAGGACAGGAGCTGGGTGCAACCTAGTGCCCTCCCCTGGAGGAGCACCGGGCTGACCTATCCTGGCTGCTGCGGGCCAGCACTGCCCAGCTGGGCCTTGGAGAACTCCAGCCTGGCCCTCAGAAGAGCAGACCCAGTAGTACCCACCGGGGGCCTCTCCAAGATCCAAGAATCTACATTCTAACCTAGCCCAGCTAGTCGGGCATGCGTGGCTGGTCTGCAGGAAGGTGAGGCCAAGGGTGGGGTGCAGTAGGAGGAAGGCCTTTTCTGCAGGATCAGAGCCTCAGACTCTGGGGGCCCCAATCCTTCCATTAATGATGAGCGCCCCCTCCCCCTCCCTTGGTTAACAGCTCAGTGCAAGCCTAGGTAGAAATCCTCAGTGCCAGATCTGTAAGGAGGCTGCTGGAGAGGGAAATTCAGTTGAGATTAGGTTGAGGCCCAAATCTACCCCCCAAACCCCCCCCCCACCAGTGGGTGTCCTTATAAGGGGAAATTTGTTAGAAAAAAAAATGGGTAGCCAGCGGGGTGCCTCCAGCCCGCAGTCAGGGCTTCTCCGGCAGCAGGTGGCTTCAGCCCCAAGGTTAAGGCTAGCCGGGACAAAATAGTAAGAGGCCATCTCAAAGCCAAAACCAAATCAAAAAGAATAATTTAAAATACATTCTAAACAAGGATGGACAGATGGTTTGCAGCCATGAGACTAGAACTAGGAAACCTGTCGAAACTGTTTGGGAACAGGAGGAAGGTGATGGGGGAGAGAGCAATTAGAATATATTATACATGGATAGAAATGCAACAAGGAACACTCACTCTGTAATTATAGTAAACTAAAAAAAAAAAATGTTAGCCGGGTGCAGGTGGCTCACGCCTGTCATCCTAGCTACTCAGGAGGCTGAGATCTGAGGATCGCAGTTCAAAGCCAGCCCAGGAAGAACAGTTCATGTCTCTCTCTAATTAACCAGAAAGAGGCTGGAAGTGGAGCTGCGGCTCAAGTGCTAGAATGTCAGCAACTTAGAATGAAAGTGAGAGTGAAAGCCCTAGCCCCAGTTCAACCACCACATACCAAAAAAAAAAAAAATTAAGAAAAACTAAACAAAAACAAGGGCTGGGGTGTGGCTCAAGTGGTAGAGCACCAGCCTAGCAAGTACAAGGTCCTGAGTTCAAACTTCAGCACTACCAAAAACAAAAACAAATGGTGTACTCCTAATGACCAGGACTTCCAGTCTCTACAAGTGGTAGAAAGTTCCATTTCTGTCATGCCAGCTGCACAGTCTGTGCTGCTTCATCATGGAAACAGCCTGGGCTGGGACTTCACACAGACCAGCTCACTGAGTCCTCAAAACCCCGGGCCAACCCCGTTATACTCAGAGAGACAGGCCAAGGTCCTGGGCCACGGGATCACCGCTGAGAAATGGCAGAATCAGGGCTTGAATCTAGGATCCACTGCTAGATAAATCCAGAGGCTTCCTGGGTAAGGACGCCACATCCCAGTCTGGAAGAGCTGGCAGAGGGACTTCAGCAAGAGCCCGGCCTCAGTACCCCAGGCCACACAGAAGACTCAGCGCTGCCAGTGCCCCAGCAGCCTCCTGCCACCCCTCACTGCTTCAGGAATGCAGGATGTGAGGGGGGCCCTGAGATGAGCTGGCGGCCACCCAGCTTGGCCTCCTTCCCCACCCCCCACCCCCACCCCCACTTCCTGGCAGCCCCAGGAATGAGCAATTTCCAGGCTCCACAAATTCCAGGCCCAGCCTTGGAGAGGAGGGAGCAGAGAACTTTCTCACAGTCCTAGGGTGCAGGAAGGCCCACATCCAAAACCAGCCTTGTCAGCTCCGGGCTTGAAAGGCCCACCCTTCCTTCCCTGACCAACAGCTCTCCCTGGGCTTCCCTCCTGCCCATGGCACCCCAGCTCTGCCAGGGCCTAAGCCCTGCCTGTCTCTCACCAGCTATAGGGCTGGTATGGACCTGGGGACCTAAACAGTGACTCTCCCCACAAAGCCTGCCCTCACCTCTTCCCTCACCTGGCCGAGGGTCACCTACCAGGCCCGGCCAGGTTGGCCAGCAGCTCTGGAAAACCTGGGGAGGGTGTGAGGGCCAGAGATAGGGGGAGGGAGGAAGCTGCCCCAGGCCTGGCAGCCAGAGCCTGTGCCAGCACCACAGCCCCAGAGACCTGGGAACAGGAGGCCCTTTGTAGGCAGCAGGGCAGGGCCCAGCCCAGGTGGCAGGGATTGGCCTGGCTGAAGACCTAGTTCCCCCCATGGGGCAGAAGTGGTTCTGATGAGGTGGGGTGCCCACCCCTCCTTCATGGGGTAGAGCTGGGTGTACTGGGGAAGAGAAGGCAATCCCAGGGCTCCTCTCTCTCTCCAAGACAAGGATAGTCCTCCCCCAAGGGCAGAGAGACAGTCTTAACCTTTGAATTCCATAGACCCCTTAAGGCCCTTCCAGACTTGACTCCACGCCACTTTCTTCCCCTACCCAATGGCAATCTATCCCACAGATCTGAACCTCTACCACCAAGCACCTAAGAACTCTCCTGAGTCACAGGCCACATGAACACAGTCCCAGCCAGCACCAATGCAAGCCTGCCATCGCCCTGGATGGAGGTGCATCTGTTCAGCATCTGTACAGCATCTGTCTCCCCACTAGCCAGCTGGCTGCGCAAGGCAGCGGTTTGGCCTTCTTCCCTTATTGCATCTTCAGAGTAGACACTAAAAATGTTTGTTGAATGAGTGAGTGAGCTAGAAGAGCCACAGCATGAGTTGCCAGAAAGAGGAAGTGGTATTCTCAGATGGCTTTGCATGTTGGTAGTAAAGAAGGAAGTGATATAATAATATTTCGTGTGTGTGTGTGTGTATGTGTGTGTGTGTGTGTGTGTGTGTGTGTGTGTGTGTGTGTGTGTGTGTGTGTGTGTGTGTGTGTGTGTGTACACCAGTACGGGGACTTGAACTCAAGGCCTCATGCTCTCATTTGGGTTTTTTTGGTTTTTTTTGCTTAAGGTTAGTGGTCTGCCATTTGAGCCACAGCTCCATTTCTGGCTTTTAGCTGATAAGAGATAAGAGTCTCACATACTTTTCTGTTAAGGCTGGTTTTAAACTGTGATCCTTAGATCTCAGCCTCCTGAATAACTAGAATTATAGGCCTGAACCACCAGTGCCCACCACACTTGCCTTAATAGAGAAAATTTTTATCAAGCATGGATTAGATCTCACTCCTATGTAAATCTGACATAGAAGTTAGGTAGAAAGTTAGCAACCCTAGGGGCTAAGAGCCACAACTTGGATGTTGATAAGGAATCACATTCTGGTCTTCTTTCAGAGTGACTTGTAACAGGGACTTGCTGACAGAAAATGCCCGAAGCCCATGGAAAATGACAGTATTGGTCTCACTATCCAAACCAAGAGCTCCCTGCTGACAGGTGGGAGGCATTGGTAACATACAGCCTAGTCTCTGGAAGATAATGACATGTTAACCCATGACTGATCTCCCCCATGTCTACACACTGCTATAAAAGTTTGAGGTCTGGGACCTCCAGCACAGGGCCTTTCTGAGCCTGCTCACTCCCCTCTCTGGAGTGTGTACTTTTTTTTTTTTTTTTTGCCAGTCGTGGTACCTAAACTCTGGGCCTGGGTGCTGTCTCTCAGCTCTTCAGCTCAAGGCTAGCACTCTACCACTTGGGCCACAGCACCACTTCCAACTTTTTCTGGTTATGTGATGCTGAGGAATCGAAACTAGGGCTTCATACATTCAAGGCAAGCGCTCTACCACTGAGCCACCTTCCCAGCCCAGTCTTTTACAAAACCTCCTGTGACACAAAGGGACTATTACCAAATAGGAGAGTCAGTCTCATAAAAGCCATTGCTAGGAACTGGTAGAATCAAGACCGTGATTTTGTTAAAGGACTCAATAACCACACCCCCATGTGAACAATTTCCTAATGTTTTCCTGAGCAACACAAAGTGTTTACATCAAGGAAGAAAATTAAGGATGTCAATTAAAACAGTGTCCTACAACCTCAGAAGGGAAATTAACAACAGCTTGTGGAGCTGGGATGTCACACCATGCTCAGCCACTGGATGTCGCTGTTCAGCCCATGAACAAGACTTCCTCTCCCTCAACTCACCATTGTTGCAGTGCCGGACACAGTCTTGCAGAACAGCCTGCCACTTGTCCTGCTCGGCTTCTGTCATCATGCAGAAGTAGTAGTGACGTGCATATGGATGCCAGAGGATGAGGGGGAACTGCGTGGGGCACTTGAGGATGGGGGCGGTGCCTGATTTCGATGTGGTCCCTGTGGAGATACTGTCTCTGAGCATTGGCCCTCTGTGGTTTCCTGGGGTCAGAGGACACAGCCAACAGTAGACTTGGGTCTAGAAAAGGCTGGTCTGTCCTAGACTGGCCGGGCAGCTGCCTTCCATCTGTCCTCTAGAACCCAAGGGAACCTCAGAATCCAGTGTCTATGGGTCCCCCTTTCCCAGAGCTGGAAGTAGGCCACATCAGTCCCTGTTGAGTAAGACTCTCAGCTCTGTGTGTAAGGTTACAAATGAATACAGGCCAGAGCCCTCAGGTTCAAAAGCCAAGAATCACCTTCTCAGGTTCCCCTTCACATTTCAGCTGTAGAGGTCAGAGTGTGGCTTAAATGTCCAGGTGGGAAGGGAGGTATGTGGGCAAACAAAATAAACAGAAAGGAATTTTTTTCTTTTCTATTTGGTCCTCATGGATATTTGAGATAACCTGCCCTAGGCCGTGACCTGCCATTCCAGTCAATAATATGATAAAAGCATTTCTCTGTGCCCTGGCTCTGGGCAGGCCGGGGCTGGGCATGGTGCACACAGCACTTCTCTGTGCCATTCCCTGAGAATTGTCTCCTTAGCAATCTGTGTTTTGTATGTGCTCAGGATGCTGAAGAGGTGACTGACCCACTCAGATCCAGTAAAACCAAGCGAGGGTCAGGCCTGGAAGCCAAGAATAAGGACTTCCATGGGGGCATCAGTCCCAAGTCCTAATGCCCCAGGCTGGCATGTTCCCCAGCCCCTAGGTTCCAGGGGTTGCCTGCACTGCAGATGTTGTTTGCAAATGAAACTTGGGGAGAGGAGCAGGAACAAGACACGTAAAGTAGCAACTCCTCAAAAATGAAGCATCCAAGGGGCAAAGTTACTTCATCTTCCCCAAGATTCTCGGGGACTCCAGGAAATGAGAAGGGCAGAGGAGAGACAACACTTCCTACCCATGACATACACTCCATAACATCAGCTGGACCTGGATGAAGACACACAGGTCCAGGCTCCATCTGGAGTCTGGCCCTGGGCAAACACCACCTCTCAGCCCCACAAGGCCTCCCCACTTTGAGGGCTCAAGTTGTGCTTGGCACCTGTGGGCAGTTGTAGATCCAGTTGGCTGTTCTGTGAACTCGGGGCCCGCAGCAATGGATTCAGAGCCATCCTTTCCCCTGGTCAATTCCTGTAGCCTGTGCAAGGCAACAGGGCTGAGGATGGCTGTCCTTTACCTGGTAAAGAGTTGCCAACTAGCTCTAGGTACTGGTCCACGGAGGTGAGGATTTTGTAGCCTGCACTGTTGATGATGGCTCGGGGTGGCACCTGCCGTTCGTAGGCCTGAGGCATGGACAAGGGAAATGGAGACACAATGTTAAGAGCATGGTCAAGTGCAGATACCATCTCCAACTCTAGCTCTGGGCACTCAGCTGCCTGGGCAAACACCTCATTGAGGAGAGTGCTTTCCTAGACCAGGACCTGGATTCCCCAGCATAGAAGAAGATCAGAAAGAGGAAGTGAAGAGGAGATGGAAGAGAGAAAATGGATTATCATAATGACTACTGACTATTGTGGCTATCAAGACCCAGTTCTGGACCCTTGCCTCTCGCCTGGGAGAAGAAGGAGTAAGAGTATCCACATGAAATGCTGAGCACGGAGACCTCAGTGGGCTATGCTGGGTGGCTGTCACTATGACCAATATGGTCACTGTTGCCTCTGTGACGAGCAGCAGCTCTACCAGTTGAGGGGTTGCTACATATCAGGTACTGTATCAGGAGCACTGCATACTTCATTTCATGGATGCTCGCATCTACAAATCATTACGCTAGGAAGGAAGGAGCCAATGTAGGCTATGAACTAAGGTTATATGCCTTTAGAATCTGGGATCTTTGACCTTGAACTGCCCACATCACCATCCTCTCTGCCTTCCTAGGTTCTAAGTGTTCCACGGTCTCTTTTGGGGGAGATGTAGGTCAGTACACAATTCCTACACCAATGCAGGGAGTAGGGGATAGATTCTGATGTAACTTCTCGTACAGCAGGGATGCAATGCTGCTGTCTACCACCAGGGGTCACTATTCAACACTTTCTGAGAGTAGTTCAGAACCCTTAGGGCAGTGATATGCAAGGTAATCCCTGACCTTAATACCGTCCTAGACATTTCTGTGTCTACTACTCTGGAGCTTGAACTCAGAGACTGGGTATACTCTCTTACCTTTTTTACTTAAGGTTAGCAGCCTACCACTTGAGCTGCAGCTCTACTTCCAGCTTTTTGGTAGTTAAATAAAGATAAGAAGAATCTTAGACTTCCTTGTTCGGGCTACTAGCTTCAAACCCCCATACTCAGATTTCAGCCTCCTGAATAGCTAGGATCAAAGGCATGAGCCACTGGACTCAGTTGAGTTTGTTAATTCTTCCTGCTACCGACCTGAATCAAAATCTGGGAGTAGGCCCAGAAACTTCATTTGTGACCATTTGAGCCCTCAGAGTAATTGTAAAACATGCTACCATTAGACAGCCACTACCCTGGGGCACAAGGTTGCTCCTAATAATTTACATTACTGTAAAAATTGATCTGAACTAGGTGCCAGGGGTTCATGCTTGTAATCCTAGCTCCTCATGAGGTTGAGATCTGTGGATTGCAGTTTGAAGCCAGCCCAGGCAGAAAAGTCCTGTGAGACCTCCAATTAACCACTTGAAAACTGGAAGTGGCACTTTGGTTCTAGCCTTGAGCACAAGAGGCTCACGGACAGTTCCCAGATCCTGTGTCCAAGCCCTGCAACCAACAAAAAACAAACAAACAAATAAATAAATAAAAAGATGTGCTCTGAAACAGGCCAAATAAAGCCTGTGCTTTGGCCATCCTTGGAGAAATGTTTGGTACATGAAATTGGGTAGGTAGCTCAACCAGATGGCTCAAAGCAAAGAGATAATGAGCTCCTATCTCTTCTCAGATGTGAGCAAGAAGAAGATAAGGGAAGATACGAGATTCTTCCCAGAGGGCAGATGCCGGACAGACACCCAGGAAGAAACCCTCAAGAGGGACTGGCCAGCAAACAGCTTCCTGCAGCTGTGGAAGAACAAGGATGGAGTCAAGGAGAGGGAGGAAGGCAGCTGAAATAGGCAGAGGGCAGGCTCGGGACCCTGATGGTGGAGGTTGGAGGACCTGAGAGTGGTTGGGAGGATGCCTAGGAGCTCATGAGTTTTATGATATGGGGAGCTGGATGAAGAATGAGGTTTCATACAGACAAGGACAGAGGGAGAGCAAGTAGTTTGGGGATGTGGGAGATACAGAATGGCGGGTGTGAGTGAGGTGGGGAGCCCGGAGCCTCAGATTTCAGGGTGGGGTTCTCTTTGCGGGGGGGACAGCTGACCAGGGAAGCAGGCAGAGGCGGGGGCATGGGGCCAGGAGGACGCCATACTCACCACTTTGTTCTCATACAGCACTAGCCCATAATTGTGGGGCACAAGGCTGAAGCGGTTCCTCCACTTCTTGTTGTCCTCCTGGTACTGGAAGAGGTTGCCTGAGAAGATGATGCGCTCATCCAGGGGCACCTGTGAGAGGCAGGGGCGGGGAGTGAGAGCCACTGCCTCCTCCATTCCTGCATCTCACCCCTTGGCAGATGGAAAAGTAAGGCTCAGGGCAACAAGAGGCTCACCCGGGTCCTACCAGGCCAGTGGTGATGCCCAGACTCAGACCTCGGCCAAGCACAGATTCAAGGCCAGGCCCAAGGTCTCCCATTCTGCTCTGGCCTGAGTAGACCCAGCCATCTCCAAACAGTGCTGGGAGACAAGCTGTCTTCCCCATCCACCCAGGGCTGCCATCTCCAGCTGGAGGTGACATACCCACAGGCTACAGCTTCCAAGGCCCCAGCATCAAGGCAAATAAATCTCTGCTCTTCTCTGAGCCTCAATTTCCCCTTATAGCCATGAAAAGAACAAGGTGTTTCCAGAGAGTCTCTCAGCTTTGACAGGTGACCAGACAGGCTCCCTGAACCTGGGTGAGGGCAGAAAGGGCCTTAGTCTGAAGGTGTCTGATGTTTGGCTGGCACCCTGGCAAGAAGATGACCTTTGTGGGTGCAGGCATTCCTACAAAGCCCTAACTCTGCTTGACTCACACATTTCTTTGAGCCTCAGCTTTCTTATCTGTATAATGGAGACCGTGGCCATTGGCAACCAGCAGGTGGGATATGCACAGTAGCTGGGAGCCACCATGGCAGCGTGAGGAAGAGAATCCCAGTGACAGGACTGATTTAAATGGGGGACCATGGGGAAGGGGAAGTGTTTATATCAGAGATGGGAGCTCAAGCTAAAGCTATGCTTCCTGAGCAGACAAGCACCCAGAAGCTTCTAGAAGGTGATACGGAAGCCAGGATGGAACATGGGAAACTCAGGAGAGTCTGGTGACTTCTGTTTCTCTGCAATTCTGTTGGTTCTACAATAATATGGTGCTGTTTGTAGAAAAATGCTTGTGTGTGTGTGATGACTGGAGAAATTACTCTTTGGATTGTGTCCACACCTTTTTGGCTTCCTTATTCCCTCCATATCTGTTGCCCCTTTTGAGTCCCAGCCCGACTCTCTTGTTCCTCAGGGTCCTTCCCTGACTCCTTGGGGGAAAGGAGCTCTTGGGAAGGAGAGCCCATTGTGCTCAAACAATAGCTCAAGACCACAGCTTCCTACTGGGACAAAAATATTTACAGGAAAAAAATGGCTTTCCCCCTCCCCCTCCAACACAGTGGGCTTTGCCCAAGTCCCAGCTGCATCTCACTGGTCTATATTTAGACTGTCAGATCTCAGCCTTCCAACCTATCTTTACTAGAAAGAGCAGCCAGGGCCCCCCTAACCCAGAGGGAAGAGCTTGTGTGGCCCCCCCCCCGCCACTGCCTGCTCTGCTAGACAGCTAGTTCAGGAACCCCAGGCCTAGGCACAGGGGAAGGCTGTGCAGAAGCCGCCCAGGACCCAGCGCCACCAAGCCTACCCCCAGATCCCAGGGGCAGCTCACAATGGCTGCCTGGCTACAGATTGGGATTTTATTTTTAAGATTCCCAAGTGGCAGAATCGTGTTTCAAGTGGAAGGACTGTAGGAAGTGAGATGGAACTGATATCCCAGACAAAATATTTTAAACCCTACCAAGTTTCAGACAACTAAGGGCTTCCCACTGGGCCCTCTCACTCAAAGCCACACCTCCAACCCAGCTTTTTGCTGGTTAGAGGTGGCATATCTCCTATTTGCCTGCCTGCGTTGGCTTAGAACTATGATACTCAGATCACAGCCTCCTGAGTAGCTAGGATAATCGGATGACTCACCAGCACCTGGCTTTTGATTGTTTTTTAGTGAAAGCAATTGGTTATTATTCTGATGATGATGATGATTTGTCTCATTATATATTATCATGACTTCATGTGGTGATGGTCAGTTTCAGGAGTGGCAAAACGAGTCCCCAAATCCCTACCTGGCAGGAATTGTGATTTCAGTCTCCTCCTCTGGCCCTGCCTATCAAATGTGCACAGAAAATGCTTAGTAAACTGTTGGGTCCCTACTTGTCCTGGGGCTGCCCAGGAGAGTTTCTAAATGCAGGAGCAGTTCTGGCTCCATTCATCTGGAATGAGTTCAAGGCCTCTTTTCCTACCACATTGGTGCACACCTGCCACTCAGGCTGGACCACATCTGAGCACCATCGCTTAGTGCCCTCACTGGATGTATATGTGGGAGGGGGAGGGGATCCGTAGACTGCCATGACAACAAGTGACGAGACAGGTTTTGCCAAGGATGATGTGTAGCTCTGAGAGGCTTAGATGCACAGTCCTGCCCTCCCCTCACCCTGGGTGGGCTGGAGATCACAGAAGGGGCCCTGGGCTAGGGCTCTGAAAGAGTTCTGGTCCAACTCCATCCTGGACAGGTCATCCTGGGCTTGGCTAAAGGCCTTTACAGCTCTTTCTCTCCCTTGGGTACAATTCCTCCTCCATATCAGTCAGGTAGATCCTCAGCTGGGACAGCCCTGCTTCTAGGAAGCCCTTTGGCCACCAGACGGGTCAGGCCCCCGCTGTCTGTGTTCATCCAGTCATCTCCATAGTTCCCCACTGGATTGTGTAAACTGTCACCCCAGGCATCAGCAAGGGCCGCGTGGCCCCAGCACCTGACGCTGAGCAGTCAACAACAAAGAGTCATCAGCAAAAACTCCCCCCCCCCAACCCCACAGAAAGACCTCAGGGTGTCATTCTAGCTATGACAGGCCTAAGCCTCCAGCTGAACCACAGCTGCTTAGATCACACGTGCCCTTCTCTCTTGGGGAAAACAGGTCCATTTGCAGTAATTTGGCTTGGCTGTGCCTTCTCAAGCTCTTCTTTCCACTGTGGTCCTGGAATCCCCCACTTGCACAGGCTCTGCCGTCTCTGGCCATGAGAAACTCCTGACTGAAAGCCACTTCACAGAGAATCCAAGGCTTGGCAAGGTGACCACCCTTGTCTGAGATCACCAGCAGGTCAGGGATTCAGAACCCCATCTGCTTCCCTGACACTCCGGTGCTGACCCTCACCTTCGTCCTGAGGAAGATGCCCCCACTGGGCCCAGCCCACCAGCTGAGAATAAGTGTTTGGACCCAGTTTCCCCATCTCTTTCCCACCAGATCACAGAAGTGGAGACCCAGCCTGTGTCTGGCTGAGGGAGGGTCTCCTCCTCTCCCCTGGGTGTGTGTGGGGCGGTGTGGGGGGGGGGCCCAAACCTGGCAGCTGGAGCACAGAATGCCCTTGGGGTAGGCCAGAAGTCTAAAGGAAGTCAAAATGACTGAGCTGGGAGGGGGGCACAGTGAGCCAGGACAACTCACAGCCCACCAATCACAGAAATCCAGCCTAAATACTGCCAGCATAACTGGCTGATACCTACTTCCAAGAGGAGGGGCTCAGCCAATCAGACTCCCCAGAGGGAAGCCATCACGGAGCCACTGCAGGGCCAAGCCATCCAGGAGACAGAGCGTGGAAGTCACAGAGAGGGACTGACCACAGCACCGGAACATACATGTGGGGAGCTCCAACAGGAAGGGCTTCCCTGAGCTAACAGGGGACCCCTGTATCATCCCTAGGGGAGCAAGGGCTGGCCCATCTCCTGGATGCTTGGACCCAAACCCAGAAGCTTCTAGATGGATTTAGTTCTGTTGTGCTCATGACATCCTCTCAGACCCGGGTCACACCACAGGTTCCCCTTCCCAGGAGGCTTTGCTCGCCTCCTCCAGCTCTTAGACACCAGCACCACAACAGTGGGAAACTGAGGCTCAGGGAAGTCAAGTCCAAGGCCAAGTGGAAACGGGTGGCAGAACCCAACGTGAACACTTTCGGGGCCACTTACCTTGCGCCAGAGAAGCTGTGCCTGCGGCAGCCCAGTGCCCTCAATCTCGTGGCGCATGCTGTTGAAGAGTGCCACACCATACTGGTCCTCATAGAAGCGGAGGAACTCCCCCAGAACCTTCGCAGTTTTCTCTAAAAGAGAAGACAAAAGGGAGTGTGACGATTCAGACACCTAGCACAGGCGTCCGCAGAGCGAGTCCATGTAAACACCTCACTCATTACATTCCTGTGGGTGTGTGTGTGTGTGTGTGTGTGTGTGTGTGTGTGTGTGTGTGTGTGTGTGTGTGTGTGTGTGTGTGTGTGTGTGTGTGTGTGTGTGTGTGTGTGTGTGTGTGTGTGTGTGTGTGTGTGTGTGTGTGTGTGTGTGTGTGTGTGTGTGTACTGGCACTTGAACTCAGGGCCTTGTGCTCTCACTTGGCTTTTTTGTTCAAGGTTGATGCTCTACCACTTGAGCCACAGCTCCACTTCTAGCCCTAAATTGTGTGTGTGTGTGAATGTGTGTGTGTGTGTGGAGGGGTCCTGGAGCTTGAACTCAGGGTCTGAACACTGCTCCTGAGCTTTTTTGTTTTTGTTCAAGGCTAGTTTTCAGCCACTTGAACCACTCTGCCACCTCCAGCTTTTTGTTGGTTAAAGATAGGAGTTTCATGGACTTTTCTGCCCAGGTTGGCTTGGAATCATGATCTTCAGATCTCAACCTCCTGAGTTGCCAGGATTACAGGTCTGGGCCACTAGCATCCTGCTCATTTTCTGCTTTTTTCACCTTCACAGTATTTGAATTTTTACATCATGATCGCTTTCAGAATAACTAATAAACATCATCAAGCTAATTCACCTAAGAATTTAAAAATCTGTTTTGCTTCCACTGCCCATTTGTTTCTCTCTTCTGCTAAAGTGGGTTTCAGAAGAGGCTGAGTCCTATGGGCCCACAAATAGACCCAGCATGCAATAGGCTCCATATTAAGTTTCCCAGATGACCCTATTTACAGATGAAGAAACTGAGACCTAGAGAGGTGGGGGTGGGAGGGGCTTTCCTGGCTCCAAGGTGCTGCAGCTAGACTCTCAGCCTAGGGTTGGTACAGCTGCCCTCCTTGGGCCAGTTTCCCCTGCGTACTGAGATGGGTGAATTCAAGGATGGACAGGCCCTGTCAGCTCTTGGTTTCTAAGTTCTGAAAACTTGGGATTTTCTTTTGAAGTAGCCAGTCCCTGGATGTTAAGGACATCTGCTAGGCCAGCATCTCGTTGAATGCTTTCAAGCAGTTCTGAGACAGGCCCTCAGGCCTACCTCTGCTTTTCAAAGAGGAAACTGAGACCCAGAGATGTTAAGTCACAGCGCAGTGGGTGGCTGAGCTAGGATGCAGATCTGGGGCTCAGCCAGGAGCTGATGACCAGGGCGGAGAATAGAGGGTTCATGTGACATGGCCACACACCACATCCATGATCTCAGGCCTTCTGATGGCTGCCTGTCTCTGCCTCAGGGCACACATGCCTCTGGAGGCAGCTCTACCCAGCCCTGCTCCACAGACTTATCCCTGGAATGTCTGTCCAGACTCCAACTTGGAGGGGGAGGGGAGAAGGAGAGAACAAATTAGGGATACACTTTAAATGTCGATTTCCTCTGTCTGTGTGTGTGTACGCGCGCGTGCACGCACATACACTCGTCCTAGGGCTTGAACTCAGGACCTTACATATATTTCTTTGCTTTTTCTGTTAAGGCCAACCTAGGCAAAAAAAATCCTAGAGACTCCATCTCCAAGAAAAAGCCATGTTGGAGGTATGACTCACGTGGTAGAGCGCCAGCTGTCCAGGATGACACAGAGGGACACCCATCGCTGGCCCTAGAATTCCCAGAGCTCACCAGAATGTTGCTCACTCTCTGAGAACTTCAAGTGTGCTTCAGTCACTGAGGCCTCCCTGACAGGTGTTAGTACCCCACCCTACAAAAGAAAGCTGAGGCTTGGGGAGACTCGGTGACTTACTACAAGGTGTGGCTGTACGACCTGGACGGGGACAGGAGTGTGTGTGTGGGGGGGGGGGTGTTACTGCTTTTGCTTGTTTGGTTTTCAGTGTTGGGGATGGAACCCAGGGACTTGCCTAGCCAGAGGGGGGGCTAGAATCTTACCTCCCACCAGAGCCTCCCCACACCAGTGCCCACTTTCACCAGGCCCCGCAGATCTCTGTCCAGTCCCAAGGGGAAGCAGGGCAGGCTGTACTATCCCCACTTTACAGATGAGAAAGCAGGCTCAGAGAGGCAAAGTGACTTTTCCCAAAAGGGATAGAAATCTGGGGCTCATTTCCCACTTGGGTCATTAGGTCAGAGCAGACAAATAGCCTTCCCCTCCACTGGATCTCTACTGGCCATCATCTCTGGGCCACTAAAAAGGGGTAGGTGGATCTCCAGAAATCCAACGAACTAAAATGTGTGTGTGTGTGTGTGTGTGTGTGTGTGTGTGTGTGTGTGTGTGTGTTGGTGGTCATGGGGCTTGAATTCAGGGTCTGGGCATACTAACCTTGAGCTCTTTTTGCTCAAAGCTAGCACTCTACCACTTTGAGCCACAGTGCTACTTCCAGTTTTTGAGTGGTTTAATTGGAGATAAGAGTCTCACAGAGACTTTTTTGCCCAGGCTGGCTTTGAACTGCAATCCTCAGATCTCAGCCTGCTGTAGCTAGGATTACAGGCTTGAGCCACCAGTGCCTGGCTTTAACCTAAAATCTTAACACTGATCTTTTCTTTTTTTCTTTTCTTTTTTTCTTTTCTTTTTTTTTCCCCCCTGATTGGTCCCTGAAATTCTTAGATCAAGCTTAGGGCTCTACCACTTCAGCCACAGCTCTACTCCTGGCTTTTTGGTGCCTAATTGGAGAAAAGAGTCTTGTAGACTTTCCTGCCCAGTCTGGCTTTAATCATAATCCTCGGATCTCAGCCTCCTCCTGAGTAACTAAGATTACAGACAGGACCCACCAGCGCCTGGCTTAACACAGATTTTATCAATGTGGCCAGGATGCTGTCCTCAGCACCTCCTCTGAGCTGCTGATGAGTCAGGTTGACAGGCTAACCATGGCCATTTCCAGTGGGCAGAGGGTCTGGGGAGAGGACAGGGCACACGCTGCAAATGAGAATCTATGGGCATGCTGGTTCTGGATTCAAGCCCCAGCTCTTCCACCCACTAGCTGTGTGGCCTCGAGCTCTCACTGGGCCTCTATTTCCTACTGCAAAATGGCACAGTAGTCTCTACCTGATTGGGTGATGAGGAAATCATTGAACCAATGAACATAAAGCACTTCACCCTGGCAAGGAGGAGGCATGTCAATCTTGGGGGTGCCCATAAAATACCTTTGGTCCAGGGAGAGGCCCCCAGCCTGGCTGTGCCCATAACCAGCACCCAGCGCAGCCAGAAGTGGCCGGAAGAAAGCTAATCTCTGATTTTCCAAACTGACAATGCTAAGGATCATGCTACTTCCTGTGCAGATAGCAGGAGCTAGACATGAACTGGGGGCCCCCAGAAAGGCCTAGAGTTCCCTGCAGCCTTGGGAGTGAGGGGAGGGGTGCTGGGTCCATTGTTGCAGATGGAGAAACGGAGGCATGGAGAGGAGCTTTCTGAGCTGAGCATGGATGGAAGGGCAGAGCTCCTGAAGAGGCAGCATGGCCAGAGCTTCCAAAGCTTTTTGTTGTATGTACTTGTGGTTCCCCAGGCCTTGGGAGTGCACGCACCTGCGCCAAAACCCCAAACCCTCAGCTCAACTTCTGAGCAGATGGCACTGGTGTTAAGGCTATGTTTTAGCCAAGGACCCTAAGCCTTAGAGAGCTAAAAAGCCTCTGCCACTGAGAGCCTCAGACCTGAGCTGAGCCCAGAGCCTGGGACCCTGAGCCTGAGCTTGGGTCCCTGTTCCACACTTATGGGCACTGGTACAAAGAGGCCAGCCTCCAGCCATAACTGCACCCAGTTTCCTGTGGACTGGAGGAGCTTCGTGCCAGCTCCAACCTTAGTTTGGCATGAGCTATGGGCAGCAAGCCAGGGCAGTCTCTGGCTCATCCGGTCCCTCTGGGGCCACACCTCACCCCCAAGGCCTGGCCCACTTTCAGGGTTTCAAGGCTGAGAGGTTTGCTGACTGAAACCAGGCAGGTGACAGCACCCAGAGGGTGGGGTAGCCTCAGAACCTGCCATCCTGGTTCCTGGAACACCTCCAGGTAGGGAGGTAGGGGAGCTGGCCTCCGTATTGGCCATCCACCCCCCAGCCCAGGTGCTATGGGACTCAGTTTCCCTATGTTGCAGAGCCATCCAAGCCCCTGCCATCTTGATCATCCACCTGGAACATCAGGAAGAACTGAAGATCCAGAGACATGGTGACACTTTCTTAAGGTCACACAGCATGTTCCATGTTATGCCCGCCTCTAGGACCTCACTCAAGGTCTTTCTACTAGATATCCCCCATTCAACAATAAGGGCAGAGCATGTGCTCAGCATCTCCAATGCCCAGCACAGGATGTAGTATTTGCATCCATTGTCTCCTTCAGAGGAAGCCCTGAGAGGTTGAGTGACTTCTCCAAGGACACACAGCTTTCAAAAGACATAAAGTAAAAATGACCTAACAGGGAACCAAATTTGGGGCAAACCCATCTTGCACTCACCACCTGGATGGCTAGACTCTGGATTTAGGGCCTCTCTGCAGCCATGGCCCTGTGGGTGGCCCCAAAGGAAGGGCTGACACACAGCTCGTGCTCAGGACTGTAATCAGGTGGGAAGCCGGGAGGAGGGAGTAATGACAGGCTCCGTCAGCCTGGGGGAGGGGGACTGGCAGTAGGCCCATGAAAAGAACCGGAACCAGCAGCCAGAAGCCCTGCTGGGGGGGGGGGGGGAGCGGGGACAGCTGAGGGCCTTGTCCAGGCTTGTCCAGAGGATGAGGAGCTAATACAGACCATGCCACGGGCCACCCCAGGAGAAAGGATGTTCTCAGCACCTGCTCAACAGTGCCACGTCCCCAGGGCCCCTCTTCGGGCCTCACCAGAACCAGCCTTCCCACCTGGTCACAATGTGCTCCTCAGTGCAAGGCTATCAGACCCAGCAGGGCTTCCTGGTTGATTGGCCCACACGCCCCTGCCCTCGTCCAGGCTCTTCACCTCTGCGATCTGCCTTCAT